TGGGCTTACGAATAAATGTCATCCTCTTACTTAGAGTCCTAATGTTCTGTCATGAGAACACTTTAAAAAATAAAAAACATGCCCTGGCCGGTTTGGCTCAGAGGTTAGAGCGTCAGCCTGCGATCCAGAGAAACCCGGGTTCGGTTCCCGCTAAGGGCACGTGCCTCGGTTGCAGTTTGTCCCCGGCCCTGGTTGGGTCGTGTGGGTGGCAACCACTCGATGTGTCCCTTTCACGTCGATGTTTCTCTCTCTGTCTCTCTCTCCCTCCCACTCTACCTGAACAAAATATCGAAAAATGTCCTCAGGTGAGAAAAAAAAAAAAGAATAAAAAAAATAAATAAAAATCATAAAGAACTTACAAAGATAACTTCCAAATTACTCAACACCACTACGCCCATCCCAAAGACTGCAACCCTGACGGGCAGTCAGGATGTGCCCCGGCTCCTGCCGGGTGCTGGAAGCCAGGTGGAGTTTGGAAGCTCTCACTGCAGTCACTGGGCCCAGAGGCTCCTGTCCAACTGCCCAGCCTTTGTCCAGGTGCTGCCACCACAGACAAGACCCAGGGGCCTCAAAGCTGAAATAAGGCAGAACAAAACTTTGTTTTGAAGTTTGAATACAAAACAGTGAAGGGCAATCATCACGCCTACCTTCTCTCTTTTCTCCTCTCGTCCATCCTTTTATCCAGAGCCGCATAGATGGCATCGGCCTCCTCGTCGTCCTTTTCGTAGGGCCCGCTTGAGAAGAGGCTCCCCGCATAGCCGTTAAACTGAGAACCAGAAACACAGCTCGAGGGTCAGCTTCTGCTCCCGTGCAATCCCCACCCGCAGAAACAGAACACTCCCAAGTGCAGATCCTTGCTGAACAGTCTTCTGCCATCAGACAAATCCAGGCCAAGGAACAGCAAGACAGCTGTTGCAGAAAGACGGAGTAGCTCTCCCAGCTAGAGACTAAGGACCCAGATGCAATGAGGGGTCTGGACCAGGTCCAGGACCGGAAGGAGGACACAAGTGGGAATGTGTGGAATTCAAGTAGCACCCATAGATCAGTTAGGGGTGCTGTGTCAGTGTCGAATCCCTGATTTGGAAATTGTAGTAAGGTCACGTAAGATGGGGAGAAGCCTGTGAAGAGTATGCGGAATTCTCCATAGTATTCTTGCAAGTTCCCTGTAAATTTTAAATGATTTCAGAACTAAATTTTAAAAATCGGCCCTGGCCTGTTTGGCACAGCAGTTAGAGCATCAGCCCATGGACCAAAGAGTTTCAGGTTCAATTCCGGTCAAGGGCACGTAGCTCGGTTGCGTTCATCCCCGGACCTGGTCAGGGTTGTATGGGAAGCTACCAGTCGATGTGTCCCTCTCACATCCATATTTCTCTCTCTCTCTCTCTTTCCCTCTCCCTCCTTCCCTCCTACTCTATCTGAAGATAAGTGGAAAAAAATATCCTCGATAAGGATTAAAAAAAATCAAAATCGTGTCCTCTGAGAAAAAAATGCCATCTGTTAGAACACATCTTAAGAAAATATCAATGGACCAAACACCAATTAACAAAGAGGGTGAGCACTAAGGCAAATTAAATCACCAATTCCACTTTAAATGTTCACTGGCCCAGCTGAGTGTGCACTCCCCCCAGCACACTCCCTTGACTCTTCTTCTGAGTGTGCTGTCCTTTGCTCCAAGGGCCTTCTGCTCCTCTTACCTGTCTCCTGAGTCTCTGTAGTCCAGCCTGCTCACTTCTACTACCTCCGTAGTACTTCTTTAACTTTTTTATTCTTATGAGTTTCTTTGAGTCAAACTGAAGGCATATTCCAGGGAGCAATATCTCAAATGCTCGTAACTTTCTAAATAAACTTTCCTTTATAACTCAAAACAATATGTATTTTTTTCACCTGCCAAGACCAAACGCCAATGCAGTGGTTGTAACAGCTGCAAGAACATCTCTTCTGAAGACAACAAAGTGCACAGTTCTTCATGTTTGTCCTGCTCCCCCTCACACTGTGTCACAGACAACCCAGGGACAGCTGAAACAGTAAGTGTACCAGCCACACCAAGCCATTCATCACAGATGCCAAGAGCACCCGGGGGCAAGAAGCTGCTCAGCCCTCTGGAGACTGGCCGGGGAGCCCACAAATCACCTCGTCATAGTTGGTGTCATTCAGATCCTCGTCGTCGTCGTCCGCAGCCTGGCTTTTCTTCATCTGGTCCCCGACGGTCCTCTTGCCCGGAGGCGCATGGCGGTCATCCACAGGATCATTGGCATCCCGGGCGGGCCCAATGTCTGACCGGGTGGTGAAACCAGTGGCGCTGCAGGAGACCCCGCGACGCCCATTTATCTTGTTTTTGCATTCTTCTCTCCACGCTTACCACTTAACAACCCTCTTTCCCTAAGACCTCCAAAGATGCTGGGGCAGTGAACTGCACATGACTGTGCTGTCGAGCATTTCCCGTCTGCCGTTCAGGCAGGAACCCTTCCAACCCACCCTGAGGAGCTGACGCAGGCTTGCTTTTGCCACCACACTCTTCTTGGAAGAGTCCCCAGGGCATCAGACCACCCTCCTTCCAACCCCCCCACCCCCGACTCCATTCCCAACCAGGCCCTCAAACCCAACTTCACCCCACCAGAGCTCCTCTTCTGTGCCCACCCTGCTCTGGCCGATGGCAGCAGGGCCATCCAGGCACCAAGGCAGACACTGTGGCATCAGCTTTGCCTCCCCCTCCTTCTCCGTCCCACCTGTTGCCTTAATGAACTGAATCTACCTCCCAGGCCCCTGCCCAGACCATGACTCCCCCCAGCCCGAAGCCCTGCCTCTCCAATGCCTCCAGCGCTCCGCTCCCGTCACACGCGTCCTGCTCAGACTCCTTGCCCTCCCCTCACCGGCCTCCAAGCCCCCGCATCTGTTCCTAAGTGCCCAACACACAAAGCCTCCGTTTCTCCTCCCCCCACCGCCCTCGGCATCCCTGAGTCTAGCCTTCCTCCTCAACTTGGCTCAAACGCTGGCCCTCGACAGGGCGCCCGCTGAGCACTGCACCCCAGAACCCTAAACGTGTTGCCGCGCATCCACCCCCAGCCCTCCACGACGTCCGGGGTCGCCCCTGACTCGCAGGCCCCCGCAGCAGGGCTCCCCTCCTCGCGCAGATCGGCAAGGCCCGCAGAGCTCGGTCTGTCCGCACCCCGAAGAGGAGCGACCCTCCACTTGTCACAGCGCCGCCGGGCAGTTCGGACGGCGCCGCCCGCCCGCGGGACCCGGCCCAGCCCGCCGCCCGGCTCACCCTCGGCCCAGCCCCGGCACGTAGCCGAGCGGCGCGGGCATGCCCAGGAACGGCTTCTTCTTCTTGTTCATGGTGCCGGCGACGGCGGGGGCCGCAGGGCAGGGCCGGAGACCGAGGGCCGCAGGCGTCCGAGGCTCCGCTGCAGGAACAAGTCGCGGGCACCGCGTCACCGGCGCCCCGGAAGCAGAGCGCGCGGCCCGCGCGAAGCCCCGCCCACTCGGGTTCCCCGGGCGGAAGTTCCGGAAACGCTACTTCCGGACGCGGCTCAGGAGCAACGGGCGCGGGAGCGCCTGCTTGCGGCGGGCGGGCTGCTGCGCGCAGGGGTCCAGGCCGACCCCGCCCTGGGCAGCCCCTGCGGGACCTCGACCGCGAGCCGGGGCGTCCCCGTGCTGCGCGTTCTCCGGGCTCCCCCGGGCCCGCCGGGGCCGCCCAGCCGCCCGCCCTTCGGAGGCGCCGGCCCGGCGGGCCCTGCCCCCCTGAGCGGAGCCGCACGCCCCTCGGGCTGTGTCGTGATGGTGGGCACCCGGGCTGCGTGCGCTCCGGAGGAAGGCCTGCGGCCCGAGCTCCCCGCGCTCAGAGGCGGACACAGGCCCCTTTGCAGCCCCACCCACCCATCGGACCCTGAATGTTCCAGTGAGGGCAGGAGCCCAGCCCCTAGAGAGCTAACTGAGGAAGATAAATTAATGCAGCACGAATGCCAGGAGCTAGGCAGGACCCGGTAGGGCGGTCACAGCACGTGGGCGAATTCCATGCACACCTCCAGCGTGTGTGTGGTCACCTGCGCTCAGGTGTGAGGGGGACGTGCACGACTGTGCCCTGCACACAGCTCTGCATGTCCACATGCACCTCGGCTCACCCTGCTGTGGGACACCCTCTGGGCTCACATGCACCTGGGAGAGCACCCAGGCTCTTGGCAGAGCAGGCGAGACTGGGCTGTCGGGCCTGCTGCTGGGCCAGGCGGCCCAGCCCACCTAGCACTTCTCACGGGCTCTGGAGGAAACACATCCGTCCTGCCTGCTGCGGCCTCCTTGGAGTGTCTCTCTCCTCCCTGCCTCCAGCCAAGTCCCTTTCAATGCCAAGCTTTGGGCACTGAGTCAGATTCCGGGGCTACAGAGCAGAGGGGACAGACCCTGGCTGTCCTCCTGGAGTTCACAGAGTGGCCAGGGCAAGAGGGAATCAAACTGACTTCTGGGAAGTAAGTGCCCACTTGAGGGAGAGACCTATGGGAAAGTCTGGAAAATGTATAAATTCAAGGAATAAATTGAGGTAGAAAAATAGAGGGAAGGGGTTGATCTAGCCCTTGACCTGGGCCCCAGGGGGCAAAAGGTTCCAGGACTGGGTAGGGCACACCCCTCCTGCCACACACACACAGAAGGGACGAATGTGTCCTTACTTCGCTGCCTCACAGGCGCCTGCGGATGCCCAGATCCCTGTAGGTGCACAGTCACTCGTCCTTGGAGCCATGCCCAGGTGCGCACGGTCGCCCCTGGCCCGGGCAGTCACCCTTTGCACACGCAGACCCGCGCGCCGCCGACACACCTCCGAGCTTCCGGAGCGCGCCCAGCACTCAGGGCTCAGTGGCAGGTGCTTCGGCGCGCAGACTCGCCGGGCGCGGGGACCGGTTCGGGCGCGGGGCCGGCTGGGGCGGGGCGGTGGCGCGCGTTCCCCGCCGGCCACACGGGCCGCCCTGCGCCCGGCGAGGGGCGTGTGCACGGCTCCGGGACCCGCGGGCCCCATGTTCACGGAGCTGAGGACCAAGCTGAGCCCCCCGCGAGGCCGCGCCGGGGCTGTGCGCGCTGGCTTCGGAGAGCGCCGGGATGTGGACGGTAAGCAGGGCTGGACCCGGGGATATCGCGGGCGGGGGGTTTGGGGACCGCGAGGGACGGGGGCGGGACCTCGCGGACTCCGAGCAGCGGCGGCGGCGGCAGGCTGAGTGGGGGGGCGCGTCCTGGCCGAATGGGGTTTTAGAGTCTTTGTCCTGCGCTGGGGGCGGGAGGTGGCGCGGCCTCAGGCCTTGGGGATCAAGGCACCCTTGGCCTGGGGGAGGTGACCGACCGGGGTTCCTGTCCCCAGCCTGGCACCACCATGCGGTCACCTTTTCTTGCGCTGGGGGGGGGGGGAGGGGGAACACCCTTCCCAGCCCTTACGTTGGGGCTGAGAGGGGGCCGAGGACACAGCTAGGCTCTGCCGCCCTCGCCCCATTTTCTACTGGAATTATGACTTTGGGCCGGGAGAAGGGAAGGACAGACGTGGGGACAGAGATCCCACCCCGAGCCGGGTCAGAAAATGGGCGGGGCCCGGCTGGCCCGGGCCAGGTGCGGCGCCCGCGGAGGCGTCGGGCTGGTCTGTCAGAAGCACTGCTCTGCCACCCAGACCGGCGGCCAAGCGAGGCCGTGCACCCCAGGCACCTGTTCCCTGAAAGGTGCCGGCTTAGAATAAGCCTTTTCCCACGGTACTAGAAGCCACCTCAAGGCGGCGGCCACACTAGCCACACTCTGACCCTACACCTCAAATTTAGAGTCACCTAGGGTCATCTGATAACAGGAGTTTCAAGAGTGAGGAGGAGGTGCTAAGTGAGATGAATCTTATGGGATGGAAGAGGGAGGAGTAAGATGTGGATTTTCCCCATTACTGAGGCCTGGGCATATATGGCCAACCCTACCCTCAGCAGGGGATGCCAGGGAGGGTCTTTCACTCATTGGGGGCAGGGAAGACTTGGCCTGGGAAACTGATCCTGCCTGCCAAGTCAGGGCCTGGATGCTGGAAAGACAGGGGCAAGTCTGGGCCCAGCTTCTTGTCCCTCACCAGGGCTGTTGTTGACTTGTGAACATTACACAGAGCCTCCGTCCATCCATTCATTCGTTCACAATGTTTCTAGGCACCTGTGTGCCAAGATCTGTGCACGTCCTTGGGAGGGGGCCTGTCCAGGTGTCTTCCCTCCCCAGACTCATGTCAGCAGGGAGTCCAGAAATGACGGCAAAACTGAAGCTTTGACCAGTGTAATGAAGTTGGCGTGGGTAGGGAGAGCTTGAGGCATCACCACGGGTCTCTGAGCACGTAGCTGCACCCTGTGCACCCGAACTGAGCAGCCCATGCCAGCTAGACAGCTGCCATGCACAGGAACCATTCTGAGCCCAGGGCTCTGTGGGAGGTGGGGAGTGGGAATCTCGGGCGAGGCTGCCCCAAGTTCAGGCCTCTTGCCAATGAGTCACTCCTAGTGAGTCCAGCTGGGCAGGACCAGGCCTCAGCTCCAGCTGTGGCTGCAAGACTGAGTTCAGTCTACAAGGATGGGTAGGCAGGGCACCCAGGGGCCTCCCCACCACACAGGGCGTCGCAGGCACATCCTGTGTGTACGTTCTGGTTTGGTGTGGCATGTGCCAACCCAGGGCAAGGGTGATGTCAGGGCTGTCCCACGAGAGCCACACCCCTGGCTGTAAGTCTTGGGCCCACTGGTGGGATGTCCTTCTCTGATCTAAGCAGAATTTGTCCTGCTCCCCAGAGCAAGGGCATTAGACTCAGACAGAAAGGTGTTTGTTCTTCATCTTGAGCTAGGTGGGGTCCTCAGGACAGCTCTTGGTGCTTCCTTCTGCTTTTAGGGGATCAGGCACCCCTAGTTGGGAAGGTGGCTCCTTCCTCAGTGGAGGGGAGATGGGCTGAGCAGGAAAGAAGCCTTTGGCTTTGCCCCTGACCAGGCACCCCTGCTCCACAGCCACTGCCCACTTCAGCTTCTGCCGGACCCTCCTGGAGCACACAGTGTCAGCTGAGAGCATCCCCTGCCACGTGCCTAGGACAGCAGGCACCAGCCTCACGTGGCATGACTCACGCAGCCAGAGGGCAGCTGGGAGCCGGCCAGTCAAGCTCCTGCAGCAGCCTGGCACAGAGGCCCCCCAGGTACCCAGCCACCACACCCACCTCAGCCCCTGGCCTCCCCACCACCTCACTGCATCTGCTGCCCTCTCCCCCGCAGGGCCGGCTGTGCTCTGACTACTGTGGCCTGTACCACACGAGTCCCTCCCTGGGTGGCCTGACGAGGCCGGTGGTCCTGTGGAGTCAGCAGGACGTCTGCAAGTGGCTCAAGAAGCACTGTCCCCACAACTACCTCGTCTACGTGGAGGCCTTCTCCCAGCATGCCATCACCGGTGCTGTGGGCTGAGGGGTGGGGGGCTCGGGGGTCCCAGGACAGCCTGTGTCTTCTCTCGCTACCCTCTCCTGTCTGTTTCCTCCTGACTCGGCCTCTCCTTCAGGTCTGTGTCTCTGCAGAATCTGTGTGTCTCCCAGTCTGTCTGTTTTCATCCTGCTTTTCTCTTCTCGGTGTCTGTTCATCCTTGTCTCTTCCCCTCTCCGAGTCTCTGAATTGATCTGTGTCTGTCTCCATCTCTCTCTCTCTGTCTCTTTCTGTCTCCCTCTCCCTGTCTTTGAGTAACCCCCTCTCCCCACTTCTCTCTCTGCCGTGGCTCCTGATGTCCATCCAAGGCTGACCTTGGCTTGACCCCCCCCCCCCAGGCCGGGCACTGCTGCGGCTGAACGCGGAGAAGCTGCAGCGGATGGGGCTGGCGCAGGAGGCCCAACGGCAGGAGGTGCTGCAGCAGGTGCTGCGTTTGCAGGTTCGCGAGGAGGGGCGGAGCCTGCAGCTGCTCAGCCAAGGTCAGTGGGAGGAGCCAGGAGTGCCTGAGAGGCTGGAGAGGTCCGGGGACTGGGCTGCAAGATCCCTCACACACAACCCCACACACCCAATCCTGAGTGCAGGGTGGGTGGGGGACCTCGGGAGGGTGGCTGTGGGACCCCAGTAAGGGCTGTCTTATACCCACCGTGGTGTGGACGATGCCAGAGGCCCCCATTCCTCCTCACCCATCCACCCATAGCTTCCTTCGGACACATGTCCTAGTTGCTGCCCGAGGCTTGAACCCCAGACCCCAGCACTGTGACCGGAGCCCGTGGCAAAGACAAGGCACAGCCCCTCTGGACCTTCAGGAGTCCCCAGGGCCCTAGCTGGCCGTGGACAGGTGGGACCAGGATTGCTGCCTCCAGCACCGTGACTCCGGGCTGTGCCTGGGACTGGGGGGTGGGGGGTGTGCGTCCCGAGTGTGGGCCCGCCTCCCAGGACCTCAGCTCAAGCTCACCCCCTGGTGCTGCTGGCGGCATTCAGGGGAGCCACCTGGAGCCAGAGAGTGATTTGGATGTTCCCCCAGACTCCCAGGGAGCGTTTATTTATATTCCCTCCCCCACATCCTCTGGGCATCCTGTCCCCTCCCAGGATGAGAGGTCTGTCTGCCCACTCATCCAGTTCCACCCCTCCCCCAGCACCTAGAGGACTACCCACAGAGGTAGGATAAACTGCCAGGCTTCCTTTGCTGTGTGTCCATCCCTGACCTTGCCCAGGCCCAGCAGGCCCAACCTGCTGCCCAGATGATGGTCATCAGTGTCCACCCAGACAGGTACCCTGCCCAGCACCTTCATTCATTATTTATGAGACCCTCACCATGCCCATATCTATTCATGGGGACTGTGGAGAAGCAGGTTCAGGATTGCCCACGCACCCAAGACCTAACAGGGCATGACAGGGACCTGGGACCCAGCACCCAGCACGGGGCTGAGCCGAGTCCTGGCCTTAGGTCTGAAAGATGCCTTCCTCTCAGGCTCATGGAGGCCACCTAGGAGGCACAGTAATGGGCAGGCATTCCCACTGACCCTTTCCCAGGAAAACCTGGATTCTCACAGGAGCTGGTCGTGAGGGCTGTGCCCCTCCATGCCTGCCCACTGGAGAGCCAGCCAGCACCTGACAACCACTCCATGGGCCAGAGGGCCCAAAGCTGGGGCTGGTGCTGCCCAGCAGAGGGACAGTGAGGGCCATCCTACAGTGCCCTCCTGCCTGCTCCCCTGCCTGGCACACCCCTGGGGGACTCTGAGAACCTCAGGAGCAGATGAGGCTGAGCCCCTAGCCCCCTCTGTGCCCTGAGTTGGCCTCAGGACAGGAGGTTGGTTGTTTCAAGTCCCAAGTAGAAATTGGATAACAGTCCTGGTGTGCCCTCACCCCCTGTGCTCCCTGCCATGGGAAGCCCCTTGTCCTGTCTGGCTGCCCTGAGTGTCCCCCACCTTGTGCCATCACAATGTCGCCCTTTCCAGTAGGCCCTCCCATCTCCACCCCCTTCTCCCTCCTTTGTCTTGCCCCCCAAGCTCCTGTCTTGTCTTTCCTGTATGCGTTCACTTTTTTATATTCTGCTAAAAAGACCAGAAATAAACCTGGTTCTCCAGTGCCCCAGTGTGGTGTCTGGCTCCAGTCAGCTGGCTTGTGGGGGTGGGCAGAGCCCTGAGGGGTGGCCCTGAGTCTGGGAGGAGCGGTTGCCCTGCCTCCCATGGAGGCCACCAGGGGGCAGTGGTGCCCCATCCTGGTAGGGGCCTATTTACCCCAGGGATGAGAGGGAGGGGCAAGAGGCGAAGCTGGGCTCAGACCCAGGACTGCACCTGGACACACCAACACAGTTGGAGTCTAATAGGCTCCAGGGGCCACTGTAACACATGACGAAGGGAGGTTTCCCACCACAGAAACATTCTCTCACAGTTCTGCAGGGCACAAGTCTGAAATCCGGTAGGGCCACCCTCGGGTGGCTGCCTGGGGATTCCTGGGCTCACAGACACATCGCTGTGCCCAGGACCACATGGTCCCGTCACCTTCTGCTGTCTCATCTCTCCCTCTCACAAGGACCCTTGTCACTGGGTTTAGGGCCCACCTAGATAATCCAGGATGACCTCATCTCAGGATCCCTAACCACATCTGCAAGACCTTTCTCCAGATGAGACCGCGTTCACAGGTCTCAGGGATCTGATGCAGCTGTCTTTTGGGGACACCCATGTAGTCAGCCACAGGACAGTGTCCTGACATAAGAAACACGCAGGTCACAGCCAGACCCAAATAGGAGCACAGGCATAAGCCAACCCCGCAGTCTACACAGACACAGAGACGCAACGACACCAGCACCCAGATCCACAGGAACACAGCATCCCAGACACACGACCACCCCCAACGGGCAGAAACACAGATGATGTTGCACACGTGCCGCAGCCTGAACACACAGCTGCCATGTCCCGCCCCCGGGAACTAACACACAGACATGCATCTTCTCACCGAGTGCAGGATACAGACATACCTTGACACCGTGATGTCCGACATGCACGATCACGCGGATACACACCTACCAACACGGACACATCCCATACATGGGTATATAGACGTACACAGGGAGAGCTGACCACCTTGGGTGTACCTTAGGGCACACGCTGACCTCACCCAAAATCCTGTATGTCCCTGTCCCCAGGGTGGGCAAGGTCAATGAGGGAAGGACATTCCCTCTTCTCCTGGGGTCACACAGGCCTCTCTCTCTGATTTCCAAGGGAAGAACTGATGGACTGACCCCTCCACAGAGTGCCTCACCTTGCCTCTGCCTCTACGTGGGCAACTTGTGCTGGCCTTGAGGAAGCAGATCCCCAGGGTCCCTGCGAGAAGAGGTGGACCCCAAATGTGCCATCTTTTGTGTCCTGCCCCCAAGCAGTGAGCTGAGCCTGTTCCAGGGTGTACAGGGATAGGAGTGGAGAAGGGGGAGGTCGTACAGTGGGAGGCGGGGGCTCCGGAAGGAAGTGCACCTTGTAACTTTCCCGGCTGGCACTCCTCCGCTCTTCCACCTGTTCCCACGCCCAGTGGGTGGCTGTCCATCAACCCCAGCCCTGACACCAAGCTGGGGCCAGGTTCTGGGGCACAGAGGAGCAAGGCAGTGGCCACTGTCTAGAAACACCCCTTCCGAGAGCAGACAGGCTGGTCCAATCAATGGTCAGTAACCCCAGTGAAACTTGGTCCTCACATGCCAGGAGCCCGCGACCCCCTGCGGGTGGCCACAGGCAGAGGTGGTCCAAGGCCAGCTGGAAGAGGCTGAAGCCCGCTGTGCAGGCCCAAGGCCCCCGTGGCCAGGAGTTCAGGGTCCCCCAGGGCTGTGGCCGCACCTCTCCAGGGCCAGGACGGAGAGGCATCCGGGGCTTCAATCCCGGCGCGCTGGGCTTGGGGCAGCGCCCAGCGTCCCCCTGGTGCCTCAGTTTACCCCACTGTCTGAAAACCGTCTCCTGCCCTATGGGCGGCGTAACGGGCCACCGCGTCCTGGAGGCCCGGTGGACGGACGCGGCGGCCCCGCAGCCCCGCGAGCCGGCCAGCCCGGCAGGCCCCCGCCCCCCGACCCGTCCCTCCCGTCGCGAGGCGGCTGCAGGAATACCGCGAGAGTTCGCCCCCTCCCCCCCCACAGTAAAACTGTCAAAGGTGGGAGGGGCGGGAGCGCGCATGTGCGCAGCGCGGCGCGCAGCCTGCGCCGCCCGGACCCCGCGCCCGCGCCCCTGTCCGGCCCCGGCCGGCCCCGGCCCCCGCCCCGCCTCTGTCCCGCTGGGCGCCGCAGGTAAGCGCCCGGCCGCGCCCCCGGCCCGGACTCCGGCGCAGCCCCCGCGCCGGCCGCGCCCCCGACCCTGACCCCACGCGCAGGTCGGGGGGCCGCGCCCGAGCCCCCGCCCGCCGCGCCCGGACCCCCCGCGCCGCGCCCCGCGCCCCGCGCCCCGCGCCGACGCCGCGCTCCCGCCTCCTCCTTCTCCAGAAAAAGTCGCCATTTTGGTTCACTGCCTTCGCCCCCCCTCCCCAGGCGCCCGCGAGCGGCCCTTCCGGGGCCAGGCCGGGCCGCACCGGCCGCAGGTGACAGGTGTGCGGCGGGCCAGCCTCCAGGTGTGCGTGCCCGGCCGGCCTCAGCGGAGCGCCGCGTCCAGGGCCCAGCGGCCTTGCCATGCCGTGTCCCCGCCACCTGCGGGCAGCGCCTGGTGCCCTCCAGCCCCACGAGGCTCCCACCTCTTGCTCCCTGCCGGGCCCTCGGGAGGATGGAAGCCCTTTCTCCTGGTGCGAGAGCCACCGGCCCTGGATGGAAGGAGGGTCTCTGGCTCGCTGCAGCCCTGGCCCCTGGCCCCTGACTTCGCCTCCTCCACCCGAGCTGGAGAGACACGAGAACCCGCACGGGAGGCGCTTGGGGTCGTCAGGCGGCTGGGGTGACCGATGTTGGCATGCCTCCATTGGAAGTTACAGTGTGAGGACTTTCAGAGAAGTTTGTTCAGACCTTTTTAGACCTGAACCTCTCTCCAGGCCCAGGATAGGTTCACCTCCTTGGCAACGGGCAGTGACTGTCCTGGCCCGTGACCTCAGCCTGCCCAGATAGCTTCTGTGCTTTGGGGGCACAGTAGCCCCTTCCCATCTTCTCTGATCTAAGTTAGTTAGACACTACCAGGGGAGGGATCACACAGCCCCCCACTTACCCTCTTCTGTGGCCTTGGGTGTCCCTTTTGGAGGACCCATCAGAACTGAGCCCAGAGTCCCTCCAGTTCTCATGTCCACGGAGGCCCAGCTCAGGTAGCAGGGGGCTCCCTGTGACAGGTCGCCAGTGGTCTCGGGAGTGGTGCTGGTGGCTCCGTACATGGGGGACAGAGGCTCTTGGAGAGTGGAGGTGATGAGGTCACCCAGGTGGAGGAGGGCTGAGGGTCCTGGCCAGCATGAGGCCTCCATCTGGGTAGAGAGGCCCCAGCAGGAACAGAGAAAGGGATCGTGGAGGATGGGCCCACTGACACAGGGACCAGAGTCAGGTGCTGCGGGGTCCTCTGTCCTTGGTCTGCCCCGCCCCCTCTCACCCCTGGAGAGGGATGCATGTATTTGGGGAGTGGGCTAGGGGCCCTCAGTGCCCACCCTGGCCATCTTCCATCTGGGTCCTGGGGAGAAGGATCGAGGGACACCTGCCTGGTTAAAATGGCATTGCCATGGGTCTGGGTGAGTCTGTGAAGGAAGGTGTCCCAAGATGCTGGCCAGCACAGCCTGTGCGCCCGTGGTCTCATAATTGGCCCTTGGCGGGGTGCTGTTGGCCTTCTGTCTGAGCACACCACCTCTCCTGGGGCCATTTGGCTCAGAGCTGGGTGTAAGGTACCTGGTTCTCAAAACACTGTGGGTCTGTGTCTGGGACGGAGAAAGCCCGTCGGACCTGGTGAGGGTCTCAGGACAGGGTGACATCCTTCCAAGCTGATGGTGTCTCCTGGGGAGATCTCAGCTGGGCAGTCACTCCCCTAAGCCAGAAGCACCCGTCACCTGCTCTCCCTGTGCCCTAGAGCATGGGCAGGCTCCCTTTCCCGGGGCACAGAGCAGGCTGGTCTAGAGGTGGGGCGCTAGGGCAGCCATTTCAAGTCCTGAGTCAGCCCTGCTGGGCCTCACAGGTCTGTCCACTTGCCTGCAGCAATGACTGATCCCTTCTGTGTTGGAGGCAGCCGCCGGCTCCCAGGGTCCAGCAAGAGTGGGCCTGGGAAGGATGGCAGCCGGAATGAGGTCCGACTTCCTGTGCGACACGAACCACCAAAACTGGGTAAGAGGGGTCAGGCCAAGGTCAGCCCCAAGCTGTCATGGGCAGCCAGTGCTGAGTGTGGGCCACCTCCCGAATGTCAGCCTCCTGAGAGCCTCCCCAGGGTGGGGCATCCAGGGGCCCTGGATTCTTGTCCTAGGCTGACTGCAGCCTTGCACCCTGCTGTGCCTCAGCGGTGGTGGGGGGAGGCTCACGCCGGGCCTGACCAGCCTCCTGGGAGCACAGCCTCCAAGCCTTGATGTGCCGTGTGCTGCAGGGTTGCCCATGGCCCGGGGTGGGCAGACGGTGCCCGGCCAGGCCCCACTCTGCTTTGACCCAGGAAGTCCAGCCAGCGACAGGACAGAAGGGAAGAAAAAGGGGCGTCCGAAAGCGGAGAACCAGGCCCTCCGAGACATTCCCGTGAGCTCCCTGAGGGCTGGGGTGGGGCTCATGCTGGGGTCTGCCCCTCGAGGCCACTGCCCTGCCTCTGCTCGCTGCCCACATGTCCAGCACCAAGCCCACAGCCAATGTCAGTGGGCCACTCTGCCTCAGGGATTCGTGGTGTGGTCCGGGCCCCTGAAACAGGTCTAGTGCACCCTCGCGGCTCAGGGCAGCTTGGACCTTGCTGTGGTCCCCAGGTCGAAGGGCTCCTGCAGCCTCTACCCTGAAGGCCTGGGCAGGGTGCTGGGTTGGGGTCGGCGAGGCTGGGGTGGCTGGAGGGTCAGCAGCCTGGCCTTTCCCATGCCCAGCTCTCGCTGATGAACCAGTGGAAAGATGAATTCAAGGTGCACTCACGGGTCAAGTGTCCCAACTCAGGGTGCTGGCTGGAGTTCCCCAGCATCTACGGGCTCAAGTACCATTACCAGCGGTGCCAAGGGGTAAGGGGCTGTGGGCTGGGGACGAAGAGGCCTGAGCCGCTGTGGGCTCCGGGGCCTGCACAGAGGCCTGGGCGTCCCTCCCACGTCTGCCTTCTCTACCCAGGGCGCGACCTCAGAAAGGCTGGCCTTCCCCTGCCCCTTCTGTGAGGCCGCCTTCACCTCCAAGACCCAGCTGGAGAAGCACCGGATCTGGAACCACATGGACCGACCCCTGCCTGCCCCCAAGCCTGGGCCAGTCAGCCGGCCGGTCTCCATCAGCCGGCCCGTTGGGGTCAGCAAGCCCATTGGAGTGAGCAAGCCTGTCACTATTGGCAAACCTGTGGGTGTCAGCAAACCCATCGGTATCAGCAAGCCAGTGACGGTCAGCAGGCCTGTGCCAGTCACTAAGTCAGTGACGGTCAGCAGGCCTGTGCCGGTCACCAAGCCAGTGACGGTCAGCAGGCCTGTGCCGGTCACCAAGCCAGTGACAATCAGCAGGCCTGTGCCGGTCACCAAACCAGTGACGGTCAGCAGGCCTGTGCCGATCACCAAGCCCATACCGGTCACCAAGTCTGTGCCGGTCACCAAGTCTGTGCCGGTCACCAAACCAGTGACTGCCAGCAAGCCAGTGCCAGTCACCAAACCTGTGCCAGTCACCAAACCGGTGCCGATGACAAAACTTGTGACGGTCACGAAACCTGTGCCAGTCACAAAGCCAGTGACGGTCAGCAGGCCCATTGTGGTCAGTAAGCTCGTGACGGTCAGCAGGCCCATCGCCATCAGCAGACACACCCCGTCCTGCAAAATGGTGCTGCTGACCAAGTCTGAGAACAGAACTTCTCGTGTTGCGGGGAGGGCCAGTGGAAAGAAAAGGTACGAGGGTGCCTCGAGGTGCCTTCCGGGTTGGGGGTGGGGTGCTCCCTGGCCGCAGCCTGGGGTAACGGCCCACAGTGGGCCCTCCTGCTTCTTACGTCCCTGCTTCCTGCAGGATTGCGGACGGCCTGGACTCCTGCCCTCTCCCTCCCAAGCAGGCGAGGTCAGAGAACGGCGAGTGCGGCCCGTCCACCACGGGCCAGGGCTCAGCCTTCCAGCCCAGCACAGAGGCCAGCAGCGGCCCCCTTTCTCTGGGAGGCAGGCCCTCAGGGGGCAAGGAGGCGCCCAGGGCCACGGGCCCCGTGTCCCCACCTGACGAGGGAGCCGAGCGCACGAAGCACAGTAAGACCAGGTGGGGGCAGCAGCCAGGAGGGGCGGCCGCCAGCCTCCCAGTGGTTATTTGATCGGAGCCTTGGCCTTCATTTTCTCTCCCCTGAGTCAGGAAGGAAACAGAAAACACCCAAGAAGTTTACAGGGGAGCAGCCATCGATCTCAGGAACCTTCGGACTCAAAGGTGAGGTCCCGGGCAGCCGGGCACCTGTGGGACTGGGCCCAGGCACAGGTTTGCCCATGCCCTTGGCCCATACATGCCCCGCCCTGCATGTGCACACAGGCCTGGCCAAGGCAGAAGACAAATCCCGAGGCTACCGTGCCAAGAAGCAGGAAGGGCCAAGCCCCGAGGACGTCCGGAAGAAGGTGCCGGCCCCTGCCAGCACTGTCAGCAAGGAGGGGCCGGCCCCTGTGGCCCACCCAGCCCCAGGTGGGGGCTGTTGTGTGGCAGGGCCCGGGTGGGGTCTTGACTGAGGGGGACCCTGGACCACACAGACGGGGCTGAGTGTGGACCCTGGGCTCTGCTTGGTGTCCAGGGCATCCGGAGCCCACGACAGCCCCTGAGGCCTGGCCCTGCCCCACAGGTGGCCCTGAGGAGCAGTGGCAGCGGGCCATCCACGAGCGGGGGGAGGCTGTCTGCCCCACGTGCAACGTGGTCACCCGAAAGACCCTCGTGGGGCTCAAGAAGCACATGGAGGTGTGTCAGAAGGTAAGGCTGCCCCCTGGGTTTCAGGGCGGAGGTGCCCCAGGCAGCTTCTCATGGTCCCCGTGTCTGCAGCTGCAGGATGCCCTCAAGTGCCGGCACTGCCGGAAGCAGTTCAAGTCCAAGGCTGGCCTCAACTACCACACCATGGCCGAGCACAGCACCAAGGTGCGCCCGGACCACTGCCGCCCAGCCCAGCCGCTGGCCACGGGCCTCCCCCTCTCCTCTCCTCCTGTCCCACCTCACCCGCCCAGCCCTGACCACTGACCCTTCATTCCCACCCTGTGCCTGACCACGAACATCTGTGGCTCTGATGTGGGGCAGGGGCAGGGGCACTGAGGCTGGGCTTGCCCCCAGCCTTCAGACACCGAGGCTTCCGAGGGGAGTGAGCAGGAGGAGCGTGAGCGGCTGCGCAAAGTGCTGAAGCAGATGGGGAGGCTGCGCTGCCCCCAGGAGGTCAGTGGGACACGACGGGGGGCCACGGGGGGCGGGGCACAGCCCCTTGCTGGCCTCTCACCCACCCCGACCCCCAGGGCTGTGGCGCGGCCTTCTCCAGCCTCATGGGCTACCAGTACCACCAGCGGCGCTGCGGGAAGCCGCCCTGTGAGCTGGACAGCCCCTCCTTCCCCTGCGCCCACTGCGGCAAGACCTACCGCTCCAAGGCCGGCCACGACTACCACATGCGCTCGGAGCACACCGCCCCGGTGAGTGGCCGGGTCCCCACGCTTGCCCACCGCCCCTGCCCACAGCACACGCCGGGCTCCCTGCACTTGCAGCCGTGGCACCTGTTCACCTCGACCCCTTGCCCTGCAGCCGCCCGAGGAGCCCCAGGACAAGTCCCCTGAGGCCGAGGACCTGTTGGGTGTTGAGCGGACCCCCAGTGGCCGCATCCGCCGCACGTCGGCCCAGGTCGCTGTGTTCCACCTGCAGGAGATTGCGGAGGACGAGCTGGCCCGAGACTGGACCAAGCGGCGGATGAAAGACGACCTGGTGCCCGAGACGGCGCGGGTGAGCCGCCTGGGCTCTGAGCAGGATGAGCCTGCACCTGGGTCCCTGCTGTGGCCCTGCCCTCGTGGCCTAGACCTAGGCCGCCTGAACCTCCCGAGGTTCAGGCTCCATGCAGAGGGCACAGCAGGGCCTCTTTAGAGCAGTGGGGTGTGGGTGTCAGCTCTGGCCAGCTGCCTGGGCTCACCCCAGTGCCCACCTGTGTTCTCAGCTCAACTACACTCGGCCAGGCCTCCCCACGCTCAACCCCCAGCTGCTGGAGGCATGGAAGAACGAAGTCAAGGAGAAGGGCCACGTCAACTGTCCTAATGATGTGAGCTGGGGCAGGCGGGCGGGGGGTGTGGGGACAGGAGGACTCAGGGACAGAGTGCCCAGGTGTGGCCCTGGGGGCGAGCCTTCCAAGTGGCCAGCCTACCTGTGGTCCCTGGGCCCCTGCAGGGTGCTCAGACAGAAGCCTTTGGCAGAGAGGCCTCACCCTCAGCCCCAGAGGCCCAGCCTGCCCGTGTACCCAGGCTCCTGGGTCAGGCCCCCTCCCTGCCCAGAGGCCCAGAGCGCAGGGCAGGGTCGGGCCATGCAGGTGTGAGGACATTGCGGGAGGCCCTCCCTGACCGTCTCTTCCCCAGTGCTGCGAAGCCATCTACTCCAGTGTGTCCGGCCTCAAGGCCCATCTCGCCAGCTGCAGCAAGGTGAGTCTCGGGACTGCAGGTGCTGAGCAGCCCCCCCAGGGGTCCCACACATGGGACATGGGACTTGCCCTGGGGACAGCCTCCACCATGAGCCCAGGGACTAGCCAGGGCTTTGTGGCCACCCTAGCCCAGACGCTTGCTGTCCCCTACCCCCAGCACAAGTCGGTCAGTGTGAGTTGTTCCACCCACCGGGGCCCCTTCTCTGCGTAGGTATAAACGGGCACGCTGACCTGGCCAGATGAGCTGTGGCTGCCTTACCCTGCAGGGTAGGGGCAGTCTGGGTCCAACCCTGGGGCGGCGCTGCCCATGTCTTGCAGGGAGACCACCTGGTGGGGAAGTATTGCTGTCTGCTGTGTCCAAAGGAGTTCAGCTCTGAGAGTGGCGTCAAGTACCACATCCTCAAGGCCCATGCAGAGGTGGGAGGCACCGCCCAGTGCGAGAGGCGAGGGCCCGGGTCGGCTGGCCCGTGGAGGGATTGGGCCAGGGAGGGGTGGGTGATGTTTGAGTAAGAGGCCAACATTGAAAGACCTGGCAGCTTCTTCCCAGTGGCTTCCAGCTTCCCTGGGAGCCGAGAAGCCCACCCGTCCCCGCATCTCCGCTCTAGGGTCTCTGCCCCAGGGTCTCCGCCCCAGGGTCTCCGCCCCAGGGTCTCTGCCCCAGGGTCTCCGCCCCAGGGTCTCCATGCCAGGGTCTCTGCCCCAGCACCTCCGCAGATGCTCTTCTCTCCTTAGAACTGGTTCCGCACCACAGCAGACTCGCCTCCCAAGCGCAGGAGCCCAGACTCATTGGCGCCCAAGAAGGAGGACAACAGTCTGGCCGGCGGGAAGAAGCGGGGCAGAAAGCCCAAGGAGCGGCCCCCCGAGGAGCCCGCACCCAAGATGCCCCCTCCCCAGGAGGACTGGTCCCCAGGAGGCAGAGACAGGGGGGCCCGGGGCTTCACTGGCCGGAAGGTGGGAGCCGGCAAGGTGCCCGAGAAGTGAGCGTGGTGGCTGGCAGGTGCGTGGGGCCCAGCCCCCACGCTGGCCCAGCCCTCTGTCCAGGGTGGGGCGCTAGTTCTGGGACATCCTGCCCTCCAGTTGCCCACCCCCATCCCTGCCTACCCCTCTGCCCAGTGGGGGCAGGCCGCCCTGCTTTCTCCTGAAGGTGGCCCTGCCCTGTGCAGGCTGCCGCAGGCACATCTGGGCTGGGCTCCCTGGGAAGGGCCAGGGGCGGCACAGAAGGGCAATAGCCTGAGGGATGTTCACAAGCCTGGCAGAGTCTGGGGCCCTGGAAGGGCAGAGGGAGGGTCTGCAGCCTGGGCCTCGGTGCCGTGGGGGGATGCCGAGTGGCCAGGTTTTTGGCCCTAGCCACGAAAGCTGTGTGCCCCATCTGCTTCCTCAGGCCCAAGGCTTGGGGGTCCCTGGTTCTGGGCTGATGAGGGTACCTGAGCAGCCTTGCCTCCGTACCCAACACTGGAACCCCAGCACCCCCAGCTACCTCCCTGGACAGACCCTGAGTCTGACCGCTGCCGTGCTGACCTGACAGTCCATACCACCCCACCCCCCAGCCCCGTTCCTCTGCTTCTGTTCTCTACCTCTCCAGGCCCGTCCTCCCCGCCTGTGTGACCCCTGCTGTGCTTGGGCCCACGACCCACTGGCTTGTGTCCACCCTGGTGGCGGAAGTGGCCCGCTGACGGGCTCTGCCATCCCCAGTGGTGCTCCCTGCTTGGGGCAAGGCCCTGGTTTTCCGCTGCAGGGATGCCGGAGCTGGGCACGCAGAGCATGCTCCGGCGTGGCCGACACCGCTGGCCGGGCTGGGGTGGCCTGATAGGTTCAGGATGGTCCAGTTTGGCCCTGGGGCCATGGGCGTGTGGGCAGGGAACTGGGCCCAGCTCTGAGGAGTGACCACTGTTCTGTCTGCTGGTCTGGCCTGGCCTGTGGCCAGGCTCCTGTGGGAGCCGCTACCCTTTTTTTTCACTTGCCCCTTTGTTTCTGGTCGTGTGGTCTTTTGATATGAGAGCTAAAAGCCTGGGAGGGGCTTGACCGAGGTCACAGTGGGGTGATGGGAGCTCGGGGCTGCCTTGGCTCCCTGTGGGGCACTGAGGATGGCTGGGTCTGCAGGTTGGGCAGGGTTCGGGCTGGAGTGCTGGCCGCCTCCTCGGGCTCTGCCTTCCAGCAGTGGCACTGCCTGGGGAGGGGACTCTCAGAGTCGCAGGGTTTTGATGGAGGCTGTTTTCCACTGGGGGTGGGGGTGGGCGGAGGGCTCGGCCTGGCTGATCCTGGACGATGTGAATTTTGATATTTGCCCGTGTGCTTGTGTCCCCTGGGTGTGTAGTGGATGCCAGTCTTGTTGCTGTGACAAGTAACAACCTTTTTTTATTCTGTTTTTTATACAAAAACTTACAACAATCTGACATTTTGGTGCTAAGGGTTTCCTGGTGCCGATGGTGGATCTGGGGGCTGGGCTAGGGTCCCTGGGGTCCCTCCCCTGCTCAGGGAGGTAGTACTGACTGGGCACCTCTCTGTCCCCAGCTGCTGTCCTCACCCAGCCCTGGAGAGGAGGGCTCCAAGCTGGACTCGGCTCTGCTTACCCTGCAGTAGGGGGACAGGTTCCCAGGGGCTGCTGGGACAGGTCGAGGTGCTGCCTGTCTCTGGCTTCTTTGTTCAGAGCCTCTGATCCTGGGCAGCCCTGGCCGGGTGTTGTAGGGAGGGAGTGTAGAGATGTGGACTCTTCCCCACTCGTGCATGGACACACAGGTGTGACCCAGTGTCCAAGTCCAGGTGGGGGCAGCATGGGCTGGGCTTGGGGACAGGAGGGCTTTCTTTCCTGTGCTCTGGGTGTCCCTGGTGTGCAGCTGGTGGGGGTGGCATCAGGCAGCCACTGCAGGGCAGCCTCAGGGGGGAGGGGAGCAGGCGCTGACAGGAGCCCAGGTACACTTTCTCTGTCCTTGTCACCCACGGCTGGAGGAGGTTGGACCTCAACACCTCTCCTGGGGACAGCCGCCCGCCCCAGCCTCTCAGGTACTTGGCCCTTGGGGAACGGGGGGCTGGTGTTTGCTGGGGGGTGTTTCCAGGTCACCCCGAAGACCACAGATAGCCCCTGGTTTGGGAAGAGGGGTCCTGGGTAACTTGATGTTTAGCACTTTAACCCCTTCTTTGTCTTTAAAGTGGGTGTGGGGGCTGCTGCCAAAGGTGGCGATTGGGTTGGACCCCCTAGCTCCCTCTCTCCCCTCCCTGCTGCCGCGCTCTGGCTGGTGAGTGGCGGTGGCAAGCTGGTCTGTAGAGCCCGCCTTTGAGGAGGGCAGAGCCAGGTGGCTCAGCAGGGTCTGCCCAGCTCCGCTCTGGCTGGAACTCAGCCAGGTAACCACCTGGCCTTGATTGACACATTCAGTGAGAGGGGCCAGAGTGGCAGGCTCTGGGGTGTGGTGGGGGTGGCCTCTGCCTGGGACCCAAGCGCGTGCGACCTGGGTCCCTTTCTGAAGATCTACCTCTGGCCCAGCCCACCCCTCGCCCTGAGAGCAGGAAGGGCCGACGGAGGGGATGCACTTTATCTGCTGTGCCAAGGCAGATGAGGTCTCCCGGCGTGACCGTGGCCCTCCGGCTCCAGCCCCACCCTTCCCTCTGGTCCAGAAGGGAGCCAAGTGCGCCCTGACCTGCGGGGGGCAGGCTGTCCCCGTGTGTCCTCTTCTGCCGGCCTCGGGAGGCCGCCCAGCACCCCCGGCCTGGCAGCCGCTCGCCCTGTACCCTGGGTTTCTGGTTAGGTTTTTTTAATGCCAGTTCTCCGTACATAAGTGCATTTTGAAAGAGAGGTTCCAGCTATCACTTGTAACCATATATATACATATATATTCTATCTACAAAGTGTTTATTTGCAAGATGTTTTGACGGTGAGCTCGGGCCCTGCCCGCTTTGTGACCATCTGTCCCCGGTCCTCGTCCCCGCCCCCAGGCCGAGAGGCGCGAGGGCGGGCCATCAACTGTATGTATTAAAAACTGTATCAAATAAATGTTTATTGATTTTTTTCCAGGGCTTGTGTGCGGCTGAGTTTGTGGTCGCGCGCGGGTGGGGCCCCGCGGGAACGAGGCCGCCCGTGGCCGCCGCCCCGCCGCAAGCCCTGGTGGGACTTGGAGTCCGCGCGCGGGCGGGAGGGCCGCGAACTACAGCTCCCGGCGGCCGTGCGCCCGCCCCAGGCCGCGAGCTCCATGGCGGCGCCCCCGGCCTCCGCCGCCCCCCGCGCGCCCCCGCCGCCCCCCGCGGCCGGAGACGGCGCGGACCGACCGCCGGCGAAGAGCGAGGCCGCCGGCGAGGAGCGGTAGGCGGCGGGGGGCGGCGGGGTCCCGCACGCCCCTCGCTCCATCCGCCGTGGGAGGAGCGGCCCACGTGAGCCCCGCCCCCGCCCCGCCGGTCCTGGGGCGCTGCCCGCGGGCTGGGGCGAGGCGGCCCGCCAGTCCCGCAGCGCGCAGGTGCCCGGCGTGGGCGCCCGGGGCGGGGGGGGGGGGAGCGCGGTCTGCACCCCAGGCTGACGGGGTTCCCTCGGTGGACAGGGCCCGCGGGCACCGGGCTGCAGCGGGTGCCTGCCCGACGCCCCCAGGGCGTCCGTGTGTTCCGGCCCCGCCGAGAGGCCAGCGGTCGTGACTCTGGGGGTCGGGCGGTGCATGGTACCTTCTGACTGCCCCGCCTGGTTGGGGTGCCCTCGAGGCTTCTGTAGGGTCTTTGCAAGAGGGGACGTTGTAGGGGCGCGGTGGGGGAGGAGCCGTTTCGCCACCGGGGCTGGGGAGACGGAAGAGGCGGAAACCAGCCCCTGCGCGGTGCCCCTGAGGCCGACCACCAGGGGGTGTGGCAGAGCCGCTCAGGGCCCGCCCCCTGCACCTGCCGGCGGGCCCCCCACTTCTGGGTCTGGACCGTGCCCTGGGGAAGGGGCTGAGGGACGGCCCGCCTGGGGCGCCACAGGACACCCTGGTCCCAGCCGGGCTGCTGGCCTCCGATGGGTCCGGCACCTGGAGTCCTGCAGGCCCGCCTGGGTGCTGCGGGGCGAGGGATTAGGCGAGCCTGCCCCGCAGTGACCGCCCCGCCTTGGCCTGGAGGTCCTGTGTCCTTCTGGGCTCTCACCCTCCCAGTGAGCATTGCCTGAGCCGGGCACAGGGCGACAGGGTCTAAGAGGACCTGAGTCGGCGACACATGCTGGTTCCAAAGGGTCTGGTTTAGCTCAAGATCAGAGAGGGCCAGGCCAGATGAGTTCTTGAGAAAAGCTCTCCTTGAAGACAGGGTGGCGGCAGCTACCTTCCGGATCCTGCCCTGGGCACCGAGGGGCGCCAGGCCTTGAGGGCAGTGGGTGGAGGGCAGGGCTCTTCTCCGGAGGCCACGGGGTCTGCCCTGCAGCTGCATCTGTCCACTCTTCCCTGACGCCGGGCCTCAGTCCCACAGGTCCTGTGCCATCATCCCTGCACAGCCCAGGGCCCCAGGGCCGGCTCTGGTGGAGTCCAGGTGTCCCTGAGCCCCTCCCTGCCCTCCACTCCAGCTTCTCCTTCCCTGCTGCAGCCACATCCCTGTGGTCTGTCCACCTTGCCCTTGTTTCTCATGCCCCTAGAGGGTCAGCTCCATGAGGACAGGGACCTCAGACTCGCTTAGCACTGGACGTGCTGGTGGACGAGTGGACGAATGGGCGCCTGTGGCGGTGCCTGCGCTCCTCATGCTGGGCTGGTCCCGGTGGAGTTGAGGCTTCAGCTGTGGGGTGCAGGGAGGCGGGCCCAGAGCAGCAGGAAGAAGGGGTCCTGCCAGGGGGGTTCCAGGTTGGTGGGGTGGGGCTGCAACCTCACAGATCCCCATTCCTATACCTGCCCTGAGAAAGCCACCCTGAGCCCATCTGGGACCCTTGGGGCCCGGCCCTAGTGCACCAGCTGCCCCCACCCCAACCCCATTTTACTCACCCAAAAGGCCAACTTCCTTAAGCCCAGACAAGATGTCAAGTAGGAGTGGAGGCCCTGGGTGCTCGCCCCAACTCTGCAGCCCCATCCAGGACAGGTCCAGCCTCCCTGAGTGTGGGCCAGCCCCTGCCCATCTGCCCAGGCTGGGGTCAGGAGGGAAGCCTCCGTGGGCAGGCAGAGAGGCCAGCCTGCCTCCAGCAGAGGTTCTCCCAGCCGCAGCACTGTTGCTGGAAGCTGAGTCAGGTGAAAGCTGACATTCGATGGATTGATCGGAGGGTGGAGGCTGGGACCTGTGGACACAAATCCCTGTACAGACTTGAGGACAGATGCTTGAGCTGACCCGCCCTTTCTGAAACTGCCCTCCCTGCCGCCAGGCTGGGGAGGGACTCTCATTCCTCCCCCAGCGCTGAGCACTGGGTGGCCTTGGGGGACATGCTGGAGCCCAGCGGTGGAGGGGGTGGGGCGGGCAGTTATTCTCAGATGCTCAGGAGGGTAGAGTTTCAGATTTGTTTATGCCTCTAAGAGGCGCCTTGGGGACAGGGGGGTACGCCCAGCTCAGCACTGACATTCAGCTTAGCTTGGCCAAGAGATACCTCAGACTTCCCTGTTCCGCCGGGGGCGGTTGGCTCTGCAACTCCAGGCAGTCCAGGGTGTTCTGGGGGTGCACGGTGGTCCCCGTCAAGCCCTGGGCCGGCAGTGTGCCAGTCTGTGCCCCAGAGGGGCAGTTCATCCCCGAGGCCAGCCTGTTCTCCAGCAGGGTCAGTGCTATTAATATCAGGCGAGCACACAGCCCCCAGCCGGGTGATCCTCTTATGCCTGTGACCTCGGACTCTGGGGCCGGTGGTAAGTGCTGTTCCTTTGGCACCAGGGCTTGAGGGGCCTCCCAGCTGCTGGTTCCCTGCCCCCCAGTGGGCAGCCTCTGCCAGCCAGGGGTCTGGCCCCATCCTAGCTGCCCACCTCTGTGCCACCCACCCATGGAGGGGCAATTCAGGAGGCTCCTGAGTTGTCCTGCAGGGCTGCTGGGTCTAAGGCTGTACGGTGGTGCCCCTGCAGACACCTTGGAGCACCCTGTGTCCAGCCATGAGCAGCCCCCCAGCTTACCCTGGCATCAGGATCTCGGGGTGCTGGGCCCTTGGAGCGGAAGGCAGGTGAGTGGCAGGCCTGTCTTACCACAGCTGTGAAGAGACTGGTCTAGGTGGATTCCCGCCGTGTGATGAACATCAGGAAATGAGCGAGCCAGGCAGGTGCCTGGGGGTGGGCAGGGCCCGCCACCCCCAGGCACTGGTTTTGCTGGGGGCTGTTCATTGCAGGAGGGTCTGTGTCTCCCAGTCCCGTGGCTGAAATGCCCTGTCACGGTGGCCAGAGCACCGTGTCCACCTGTGAACAGGGAAATGAGGTCTTCTGTTGGATTCCCCACCTTGGAGTGGGTCCCACTGTGAAAACTGTGGCTCGCTGAGGGTGCAGTGAGGCCTCGTCCCTGGCTTCCGGACAGCCGGGCTTCCGAGCACGCTGTGGGGCTGGGCTTGGCTGCAGACCCGGCCTGAGGCCACTCAGGCCCCTTGCAAGCCGAGGTGGGTGGGTTTCTGGGAGGGTCGTCCCTGGTTCTTTCGTCTTCCCGGGAAAGGTGTCCGTCCCAGGCTGTCAGCAGCAGGGGCCCCAGGAGTTGTCCTTGCTGGTGGTGTCATCCCAGCAGGATGAGGACGTCACAGTAGGGACCCGGAGGCTCCTGCTGGAGAGGCCGCCAGCTGGGGTGGGGAGCAGGGGGACAGGACAGTGCCAGCCCAGGCCTCCGCCGTGGGGTCCGTTCTGCAAGGCCTCCCTCAGTAGAAGGCAGAGGGGAGGGGCCTCCTTGGCGCGGGGAGGGCTCCCCTGCCCTTTCCAGGGTGTGCGGGTGCCTGGGAGGAGGGCATCTGGGTGAGCAGCCAGCACTGCCTTCCGACCGGCGCCTGAGTGGGAACCCGGGCAGCACCCCGTGCCCTTCTGAACCCCCACACCGTCACGGTGGGTGGCATACCGGGGCCGTCCCCAGGCCTTACCCCCTGGTCGTCTGGTGCCCACTGTGTGTGCACTGGCCGTGGTGACCCGCGCGCCAGGTTCTGAGCGGAACCCCCTGGTGGCTGCTGTCGCCGGAGAGCACGCAGCGCAGATGGCCAGTCCCGGCCGTGCTCGCCCCCTTGGCCCCCGGGGTGCTGTGGTCTCCTGTCAAGCACCACGGCTGGCTTTCTTGCCACTTTCAGGCTTCCACCTGTGTGGATGTTCTCAGTGCCCTCGGGAGCTGCCAGTGTGACTTGTCACGTGCAAGCCCTGCGCTGACTCCTGCCGCCTCCCACACGGGCACAGGCACCACCCAGGCACCGAGGTGCAGCGACAGCGGGACTGAGCTTCAGCGGCAGACGGTGGCCTGGTCTGGTTTTCATAACCAAGGGGCACGACTTGTAAGGCCCTCGGACCTGGCAGGGGTCCCTGCCCCAGACCTTAGTGTCCAGGGCAGTCCTGGCACATCTGCCCCCCGCGGACTCGGTGTACGTTCCGCTCGTGACCCGAAGGGCACGCAGGTCGGCGGCGTCTGCTGCTGGTTTCCACGTCAACGTCTTAGTTTGCTTTCTCATCCAACCCACATCCAGGACACCTTCCGGGACCCCACCCCGTGACCCCACCATCTCAGCCTTTCCTGGGCAGGTGTCAGCCAGGCTGCTTAGCCACACGGGCCTCCCCAGAAGCCGTCCCTGTTGGGTTTTGGGCCTCAGGCCAGTGACCACACTGGAGCCCCTTCGGTGCATGACTGACAGGTCAGCGTGCCCGCTCCCACGAGCGATGCAGCGCGGTGATGGCCAGGCACGGTGCCGTCTGCCTGTCCCAGACTGGGTTTGCACCTTGCAGGCTGTGGGGGCCTCTGCCCTCCTTCCTGCACTTTGCAGGATGCTGGGAAGTGAGAAACAGTGACCTCCCCAGGAGTGTCCCAGCCCAGGGTCCCCCGTCAGGGTCTGACCACGTCACTGTCCTTGGCGTGGGCAGCATTGCCCCTGTATTTGCGCTGTGGTCTCCTGTCCCTCTAACTGGTGTGAACAGTGACCAAGGCCACAGGTCCTGTGGATGGCCGGCAGGTGGGGTTCATGCGCCATCTCAGCCCGTGTGCTGCACGGGGATGCGTCTTAGGCGTGGCCACTGGGCTGGGCGAGCATGCCCTTCTCCCCTGCAGCAGCAATGCTGATGCCCTGGACCGGCTCCTCCCGCCCGTGGGCACCGGGCGCTCACCGCGAAAGCGCACCACCAGCCAGTGCAAGTCTGAGCCGCCCCTGCTGCGCACCAGCAAACGCACCATCTACACTGCGGGGCGGCCGCCCTGGTACAATGAGCACGGCACGCAGTCCAAGGAGGCCTTCGCCATCGGTGAGCAGGTGGCCACCCGCCCCGTCACCCCTGGTGGGTGGGCTGGGGGCTAGGGCTGCGTCGCTTCTGACCTGCCCCTCGAGCCCCAGTCGGAGGCCAGGCCTGGACAGTGGCGTCCAGCAGGGGTGACTTGGTTGGAAAGGGCGGTCCCGGCCCTGCCTCCCGGACCCGGTGTGAAGCCCACCCGCTCGGCCCGCAGGCCTGGGTGGCGGCAGTGCCTCGGGGAAGACCACCGTGGCCAGGATGATCATCGAGGCGCTGGATGTGCCCTGGGTGGTCCTGCTCTCCATGGACTCCTTCTACAAGGTGAGGGCGCCCTGTGTGGCCGCTGTCCCGAGGGCCGGCTGCCCCTGCCCGCCCGGGTGGCCGCAACCTGCCACTCCCCACAGGTGCTCACCCGGCAGCAGCAGGAGCAGGCCGCCCTCAACAACTACAACTTCGACCACCCGGACGCCTTCGACTTCGACCTCATCGTGTCCACGCTCCAGAAGCTGAAGCAGGGCAAGAGCGTGAAGGTGCCCGTGTACGACTTCACCACCCACAGCCGCAAGAAAGACTGGGTAGGCCCCGCAGGCTGGGCTGTGGGGCACTGGGCACCGGCGGGCACGGGCCCAGCACAGGCACCTTCCTTTGCAGAAGACGCTGTACGGCGCCAACGTCATCATCTTCGAGGGGATCATGGCCTTTGCGGACAAGGCGCTATTGGAGGTGAGGGCAGTTCCAGGCCACCCCACCCCGGGACACCCTCCTCTCACAGGCTCCCCTAAACCTGCCCGCTCCAGGCAGGTCCTGTCACTCCCCCGTCCCCAGGAGGGGTCAAGGACATGGGGTTGAGCAGACCAGACAGCCTGCCGCCCACTGAAGATGGGGACACCCTTGGTGGCAGCCCGCGGGCTACACTTCCCGGACTCTGTCCCCATCTGCACGCATCCCGTTGCTGGGTGTCCTCCTGCCGTCCTCTGGGGTCCACACAGTTGCTGAGGTCCCTGTGGTGGTGGGGGTGACACGTGCGTGCAGGTGCCTGGGAGGGAGGTGCCCGTGGCTGTGTGTCTGCACCGGGCACCCCCGCATCCCCGATTCCTGGGCGGCTTGGCACAGGCCACCCACGGCGCTCCCCGCCCTGCCCCCACTGAGGCCCGTGCCCCAGGCCTGTGTTCACACCGCCCTGCGCTTCCCGTCCCTGCGGCAGTTCTGAGCTCAGGCCCCGGAGCCCAGCACCCGCCACGGCTCCTCCAGGGGTTGCCTGCCGTTGCTGAGTGCGGGGTGGCCGCAGACACCAAGCCCCAGTCCCTGGTGTGAGAGCGTTGCGGGGGAAGCTGCCCAGAGGAACACGCAGCCTGCACCTCTGCCCCCCAGGCCCCCAATGTGCTGCATGGGCCGGCTTGCTGGAGGCCTGTGCAGGGCTGGGTCCTCGTGGCAGGGCCTCGGGGCCTCCGCGTGCTGGCCTCGCCCAGCGGTGGCTGGCCCCCTGCAGCTCCTAGACATGAAGGTCTTTGTGGACACCGACTCCGACATCCGCCTCGTGCGGCGGCTGCGCCGGGACATCAGCGAGCGGGGCCGCGACATCGCCGGTGTCATCAAGCAGTACAACAAGTTCGTCAAGCCGGCCTTCGACCAGTACATCCAGCCCACCATGCGCTTGGCGGACATCGTGGTGCCCCGAGGTGAGCGCGGGGGCGGGGGCACACTGCTCCTCGCCCTCCTGCCGGTGCCATCCTGCCGTTGCCCACCCCAGGGAGCGGGAATGCCGTGGCCATCGACCTGATCGTCCAGCATGTGCACAGCCAGCTGGAGGAGGTGAGCGAGCTGTGCCAGCCCCGCCTCCCCCACCGTAGCCCCTGCTCAGGTGCCCCCGTGCTCCTGCCCCTCCCGCCCTCTGGGGGGACTGGGTTTTGGCGAAAGCCCCACATCCTGAGCACCCAAGCAGAGGTCACACATTCTGGGCTGGAGGCCTGAGACTCTGCCTGCCGAGGTCAGAGGCTTAGGGAGCTGGCCCAGTCTTTTGACTGGCAGTCGACTACCCAGTCGTGGGGCTGGGGCACGCCCGTCCCTGGGTGGGTGGCCGGGCACACGGCGGCAGCGCTGGCGTCATTGACGCGCCGCCCTGTTCCCTTGTCTCCTGTGGCTGCCGCAGCGAGAGCTCAGTGTCAGGTAAGACCCCCCCACACCTGTCTGCACAGGTGGAGCTTTTCCCGCATCCACGGAGCTAGGAGCTGGGATGTCCTGGCCACTCTGCCCCCCCCCCCCGGTGGCAGCCCTGCTCCAGGCACAGAAGGGGGTGCGGTGGCCCCCGCACTGCTTCTGCCTCCCCTTTTGGGCAGTTGAGGAAACTGAGGCACACAGAGGTCAAGGGACTTGCCTAATGTCACGCTGAGCCCTGACCGCAGGCTGGCCAGACCTCTCTGCAGGCTCCTCCCCCACCCCAGAGGCTCTGCACTGTGGCTCCAGGGCGTGGCCACAGGCACATCCCTCAGCAGCCACCTCTGCCTGACCAGAGGGGCCAGTCTGCACTGCCCAGGTAGTGGTGACGCCCCAGCCCTCTGGTGCCCTGCCCACCCTCTGGTCAGTGGAGACAGAGCCAGGAGGACCTCTGGACGGGCAGCCTGGACTGTCTGTGGAGTCACACCTGCTGGGCCGAGACAGGCCCCCTCCAGGCTCAGGGTCCCTAAGCCCCTGCTGTGCTGGAGCCCCCAGCTCCCACCACCACGTGGGGCCCTGGGCTCCAGGTCTCGCTCTGAGAAAGGCCCCAGGGTCTCACAAACAGCTGCGTCTTCCCTTTTATGGTCAGCCAGGTGGTGGCCGCAGCTGGCACCCACCTCCGCGGCCCCAGGAAGTGTTGCCTGTGGCTGGGCAGGGTGACATCCTGGTGCTCACACCCTCCTCCCCTCCTCGGGGTCTTCCTGCCGCCTGCCCCTCTCCCCTGCCTCTGCTCCTTCCTGCCCGGCTGAGGACCCTGCTTCCCTGCTGAGTGGTCTTTTCTGTGTTCTTTTCCTTCTCTCTGTAAACCCTGGGGTTACCTGCCCTGTTCCCTCCCCGACATACTCTTCACCTCTTCACCTGGCGAGCAGAGGAAGCTGCGCTGGGATATGTGAGGACCGAGTGTGCTGGTTGTGGTGCCCGGTGGGCTGGGCTGCGCTGGGCTGCGGCTGCACCTGCCCCTGCCGCCGCCTGCGCAAGCGCTGCCCCCACGCTCTGCCCGCCGCCCTCCCCTCCCCTCCCTCCCCGCTCCCCGCCCACCTGCCCCGCCCAGCTCCTCCTCCCGCCCCCTCCAGGCACAGGGCAGCAGGGCGCCCCAGCCAGCTTTGTCCCCCTCTCCTGAGGGGCTGCATCTCTGGGGAAGGATCAGGACTTGCCCCAAAGCTCAGCTGTTCCCTAGGGAGAGGGGTGGGGTGGGGGGGACTCATTTGCAGGCCTGAGGCCCCGCCTGCACCCCGTCCCCTGCTTCCTGTGAGGGCGGCTCACCGCAGCCTGCTTCCTACCTAACGGTCAGCTGCTCTGCCTTCCACCGCGTCCTTTAACCTCTGCCTCGTCCTTGAGGGGCGGGGTCATCGCGGGCAAGGGCCCTCCCTCCGGACGAGCCACAGGGAGGCGGCGGCTCCCACCCAGTACATCCTGCCGCCCCCACCGCATCAGCCTCACCCTCACCCAGGGTCCCGAGTGGGAGGATGGGGCTGTGGAGAAGACCCTTCTCGAGCCCCAATCAGAGTGTGTCCCCAGGGCCGCGCTGGCCTCGGCGCACCAGTGCCACCCCCTGCCGCGGACTCTGAGCGTCCTCAAGAGCACGCCGCAGGTGCGGGGCATGCACACCATCATCAGGTGAGGGCCCGCGGCGCGGCGGGGCGGGGCGGGGGGGGGGGACCCTCCGCTGAACCCCGCCCGCCCGCAGGGACAAGGAGACCAGCCGGGACGAGTTCATCTTCTACTCCAAGAGGCTGATGCGGCTGCTCATTGAGCACGCGCTGTCCTTCCTGCCCTTCCAGGTGCGGGCGCGCAGGGGGGCAGGGGGCGGGGCAGGGGCGCGGTGGGCTCGGGCGGACGCACAGGGGGCGGCCCTGCGTGCTCACCAGCGCCCCCCACCGCTCGGCTGCAGGACTGCGTCGTACAGACCCCGCAGGGGCAGGACTACGCGGGCAAATGCTACGCGGGGAAGCAGGTACCCGCAGGGGTGCGGCCGGGGCGGGACTGGGGTGGCCGGGGAGGCGAGGTCCCGCTCAGCCGCCCCCGCCTCAGATCACGGGCGTGTCCATCCTGCGTGCGGGGGAGACCATGGAGCCGGCGCTGCGGGCCGTGTGCAAGGACGTGCGCATCGGCACCATCCTCATCCAGACCAACCAGCTCACCGGGGAGCCCGAGGTGCGAGCGCGGGACCTGGGGGCGCGGGCAGGAGCTTGCGGTAGGGCCCAGATGGGGGTGGGCCCTGACTGTCCGGCTGCCCCCAGCTTCACTACCTGCGGCTGCCCAAGGACATCAGCGACGACCACGTGATCCTCATGGACTGCACCGTGTCCACGGGCGCCGCGGCCATGATGGCGGTGCGCGTGCTCCTGGTGAGTGGCCTCTGCCCCTGTGCGCGCCGGGGCCGCGCTGGGAGCCCCATCCCGTTCCTTCTGGCGCAGGACCACGACGTGCCCGAGGACAAGATCTTCCTGCTGTCGCTGCTCATGGCGGAAATGGGTGTTCACTCGGTGGCCTACGCATTCCCACGCGTGAGAATCATCACCACGGCAGTGGACAAGCGTGTCAACGACCTGTTCCGCATCATCCCGGGCATCGGTGAGGCTGCCCAGGCCGGTCAGAGGGCGTGGGGGCCGGATGGGCCTGACCCCACCACAACGGTCTGCTTCTTCTGTAGGGAACTTCGGTGACCGCTACTTCGGGACCGACGCTGCCCCGGACGGCAGCGACGAGGAGGAAGCGGCCTCCATGAGTTAGGAGCCGCCCCTGCCACCCCACCAGCCTCCTGCCTCCTGGCCCCTGCTGACAGAATACAGACAGTAACTTCTTCGATACATGTTATAAAATAAAAGTTTTATTCCTGGCCGGTTTTGCTCAGCAGGTAGAGCATCGGTCTGCAGACAAAAGGGTCATGGGTTTGATTGCCGGTCAAAGTACAGGGTTGCAGGTTTGATCCCTGGTCCCAGTGATGGTCATTCAGGAGGCAACCAATCGATGTGTCTCTCTCACATTGATGTTTCTCTCTCTCCTTCCCTCCCTGACACTCATCGAAAAGCAATGGATCCCAGCTGGTGTGGCTCACTGGTTGAGCGTGAACCCCTGCACCAAGAGGTCACCAGTTCAGTTCCTGGTCAGGGCACATGCCCAGGTTGTGGGCCAAACCCCCAGGGGCTCATGCAGGAGGCGGCCAATTGATGTTCTCATCGATGTTTCTAGTTCTCTCTTCCCTCTCTCTAAAAATAAATTTTAAAAAAAAATTTTTTTTTTCAAATAAAGCAATGGAGAAATGTCCTCGGGTGAGGATTTAAAAAATAATAAAGTTTTAGTAAAAATGAAGTTCTGACTGATAAGCTAGGGGTTTGGGAGTGCTGTTCTGCCTGGCCCCGGGCTGGGCGCGTGGCCCCCAGGGCCGCCATGGAGACGGAGCCTGCGACCTAGCCTCTGCTGCATCCTTAGGGCCCTGCCCTCTCCCCGTGACAGGCTTTCCTGGCCCTCAGGCCCAGTTCCAGGTTTAGGCGAGGGCAGAGCTGGGGCCCCTGGCCTGTGCCTAGGGTCCTGGGTCTCAGAGGCAGCCTCCGCAGGCACCCACACACACACACTCTCCACCACTCCCCACAAACACCACATGTTGTACTGTCAGGAGGCCCAGCGGAAACTGGTGCGTGGGCAGCTGCAGGACGGAGTGATGAGCTGGTCAGGGCCACTGGCAGGATCCCCAGTTGCAGGAGAGGTGGCCAGGGCCTCAGTCGGTCAGCCATGCCCTTCACTATGTCCAGCCTGCCTTCACTGCCCCTGGGATGCGGGGTGAGGGCTGGAGAAGACAGCCCAGCCGGTCTGCAGCAAGCCTGCCGGGCAGGAGTGCATCATAGATGTCTGGGCTGCTGTAGGTGGGCAGTCAGCCTCCTAGTCTCTCCCTCCACCCCCTCCAGCCCTGGTTCTGGCCTCTTTCCTGTCCTCTTGGTCTCTTTGGTCCCCCCGCCCTCCACAAAGGCCATGTAATGGAAAAGCTTGTCGTGGGGTGGAGACAGGAAGTCACTGGGTGGGGGCCAGGCCAAGGGTGAGCAGATAAAGGCAGGAGGCTTGTCCAAGGGGTGGCCAGGCACCCAGGACAGAGGACAGACACAGACGCCCAAAGGTCAGCAGGAGAGTCTTCTCCCCACCTGGTGAGTGCTTCCCCCTCCCTTGACTCCAAGGCTCCATTCATTCATTCTGGGGGCCTGGCCCGGCTCAGGTGTGACAGGGCCATGAGGTGGGGAAGATGCCCTTCTGTGCAGCCTGGTCTTCCCAGTGAGGACCGGGGCCATCAGAGCAGCCAGGCAGGGGTAGGTCACCCCTGGGAGGGCCCCCCAGAGTCCAGCTAGAGGATGACCAGTTCCCAGAAAACAAGCACACACACGTGCATGCTAACATGTCTCATGCAGCCGCAGAGCACGTCCACAGACATGCATGCACACGTGTGCCAGGAGGGGAGCCCAGCTCACTCAGCCACCAGCCCCTGGGGGAGGCAGCCTCCAGCTGGGGTGCCTTCATCAAAGCAGCTCCGGGAGGCCAGCACAGCTTAGGGCACTTCTTGGGCCCATTTCCTGTCAGGGCCCCACAGGGTGGTGGAAGGAGGTCACCTTCCAAACAGTCATGGGGGAAGGGTCTCTGGGGGCCAGCGGAGGGGGAGCAATTCCAGTCCCAGGAGCCAAGGTCCAAGACTGTCCTGGGCACAGCACTTAGTGCAGCTGCTGGACAACAGGAAAGTCCAGTTGGAGGGAAGACTCCGTGCTGCCTCACGGATGGATGAGCCACCCCCAGAGACCCTCTGGTGGACGGACTGGGGGTCGGGAGCCGGGGGGCTCTGGGCAGCTGGACCTCCTTCACATGAGGAGAGAGGAGCTTGAGGAGGGTCTGTCGCCTGGACATATCTGCAGGGCCTGGGCTATGTCCAAACCTGGAGCTACTCCCTGTGCTTGTCCAGAAGCTCCTGGGACACCCAGGTTGAGGGTCCTCAAGAAGCTTGATGAGGGCTCTGCTGGCTGACCCTGGGCAGTGCCTCCAGGACTGTCCAACCTGAGAATGGTGTCTCCAGGGTCAATCTCAGGTTCGTCAGCCCGTGAGGTGCTGCCCCTTCCCCAGCAGTGGCTGCCACAGGGCACGGAAGCATGGGGTCCCCCTTCCGGGCCAGGGGATGGGGCCCTGAGCCAGCATCAGGCACACGTGGCTGTCGTGCTGAAGGGTAGATCACACATGGCCACGTTGTCGGCTCGTAGGGCCTCGTGGTGCCTGAGCTGGTGCACCTGGAGCCAGGAAGCATCCCCCAAGACACCTGGATCCCTGGGCCCCGGCCTGAGGCAGCCCCGAGGGCATCAGGGGGGTCCTGGGAAAGAATCTTCTGCTCTGGTCCCTGGGTCAGGCATTAGGCTGGAGGCTGGGGGTTCAGGCTCTCCGAGGTCAAGCTGAGTTTGGGGGGAGCAGGAGAGGGAGGTGCACAGGATTCAGAGCTGCGAGTTGTGGGGCAGGAGGATTTGCTGTGCTTGGGTCAGAAAGGCAAGAACGGGGCAGTTCCCACAGGGGTTCGCAGGGACCCGGTCTGTGACGGACCCGGATGTGCCGAGGAGGAGCTGGGCAGGCAGCGTGGCCACTGCAGGGGTGCAGGGGGGCCTCCTCCAGGCCAAGTTCTCTGGGCATCTACTTACCAATCGGCTTCCAGCTGGGGGTCAAGACCCTCCCCAGTTCTCCGTGCCCTAGTCCCCCTGCGTGTTTGTGTGGCTCCCGAGATGGCTGGGGGACCGTGCATATGGACAGAGAGGGGCCCTTGTCCTGGTGTTGAGGGCAGTGCCTCCAACATTCCTGAAGTTCTGGGGAGTCAGCAGCTGAACTGGGGTACCCAGCAGGGCTTATCCCTCTGAAGCAGGGGTTCCACTCCTCCACCCCTCCAGGGCGTGGAGTCAGAGCGGAGGCAGCCCGGCGGGCTGAGGGCAGCACGACCACCAGGACGTGCAGGTGCTGGGTCTCCCGGGTGCTGGCAGGCACTGGTCCTGACCTTGACCAGGGCTGTGCGCTCACTGCTTGGGGGCCGCCCGGCGCGACGGCTCAGGGAGAACTTCATGTGCGGGCAGGTGACCCCGGGCCGCCTCCAGACCTAGGGGCGCCGCGCGGGTCCTGTGGATGCTCCCCTGCACGCCCTCACGGGTCGGGTCGCCCCGGTTCCCGTGTCCTGGCGCGGTTATTGAGCAAGAGGAAGTACTCGGGTGGCCTTGGCAACCCGGGTCCCCAGGCCCCTGCCTGTCCCCGCCGCGGGGACCCACGTGTGTGATCGACAATTGCTGACTCTCCTCTCCAGCTTCTGAATAAACTACTTCAAGTGTGGACATCGATTGGCACAGCCCACGGGATCAGGCGGGTCATCCCAGTCCCGGCCCAGGGTGCCCCCAAGGACCACTCAGCTCTGGGTCAGGTCCAGCCAGCCTGGGGTCCCAGCATCGCAGTGTCCACGCGACACCACCGGGCGCTCACCGCACTCGGTGAGTGGGTCCATCTGCGCACAGATCCCTCCGCCAGGGCTGCGGAGCGGGGGTGGGAACTTCCAGAAGGCCCCGCCCCCTGCAGACCACGCCCCCGCCGACACCTGTGGGCAGGCAGGGCTCGAGGTGACCTGGTTCCCAGGTGCACCTGGCGAGAGGGGAAGGGTCGCGAGGACCCCTGCCCCCAGGGGTGATCACAACCTCCGCCAGGAGCCCAGGGTCTCGGGACTGGGCGCGCGAGGGCAGGGGCACCGGTGGCCGGGGGCCCGGAGGGCGGAGGCTTGGGTTACTTCATGGTTGTCCCTAAGAGTCCCATAAAGAAAATATGAAAATGAGCGTGGTTCTACCTAATTCAGGTGCTGAAGAATAAGCAAGGAAAATCGTCCGAGGACACAGGCTGGCAGGGAGGCGAGAGGGGCCTGTGGACTGCGGGGAGCAGGGAAGGCACCCTGCTGGGCAGCGGAGGCCCCAGCCCTGCCCCCTGCGGCAGCATCGCGCACGCGCGCCCCGTGGGGCCGGCCCGGTCCGCTTCCCTGCGCAGCTGAAACCACCGGGCGCCTGCGGTCCATCCAGCCGCGGACGCTGCGCAGCGGCGAGAACACAATGGACCTACGCGTGGTCACTTGGATCATTAAGAACCGCGTGGAGCTCAGCTCGCAGCGCACGTCACTGCCGGCGCGGGCCCTGGTGGGCAGGTTCAGAACCAGGGACAGAGCCGGTTTGACTCCTGGTCAAGGCACATGCCCTGGTTGCGGGTTCTTATGAGAGGCAACGGATAGATGTTTTCTCTCTCAAAAAAATCAAGAAAAACATTAAACAAAAACACATAGCCCTGGCCAGTTTGGCTCAGCAGCTAGAGCATCGGCCCAAGAACCAAGGGTCTCGGGTTCGATTCCTGGTCAAGGGCACATACCTGGGTTGCAGGTTCTATCCCCAGCCCCGTCAGAGTTGCGCAGGAGGCAACCGATCTGTCTCTCACATTGATGTTTCTCTCTCTCCCCCTCCCTCCCTTCTACTCTATCTTAAAAAATCTCCTTGGGTGACAACAATAAATAAATAGGTAAATAAAATAAAAGTGAAAAACCACGACAGAAACGACTGAACTGCTGTGGCTTCCCCGGGAGGAGAGAAAGGTACCAAAGAGGTTTTCAGTCATTTTTCCTTCAGTGAAAACCCTAAAACCAAAAGACTTCGTATTGTCTGAATGATTTGTTCCAAGGTGTTACATGAGTTAGTACTTTTAAGCTGCTTTAATTTTATGGATCCATTTGTGACAACATCGATTTGCCGTTCCACTTTCTTATGCATGCATTGGTATGTGCCCTGACCGGGGATGGAACCCACCACCCTAGGGTGTCGGAACCACGCTCCACCCAACCGAGCTACCTGGCCGGGCCTGTGCGGCTTTCGGTTTTCCCAGAATGTTTCCCTTGCCCTGAGCTAAGACAGGGGAAGACCCAGCACCCCTAGCAGGAGGCAGTGGCTGCCCACACCCCCAGCCTGCTGGGTCAGGGTGGCCTCTCCCACCTCAGCCCCCCTCACCCCAATTTGTGCGGAAGGGACACCTGGAAGCAGAGCTGGCGCCTTCTGCAGGAGCCCAAGGGGTGCACATCTCAGGGCTGAGGAGCAGGCAGGGAGGAGAGTGTCTGGGCCACACTGTCCCAACCCCTCCTTCCGCTGTCAACGTGGGGGGGGACAGGCCCTACCAGGAGACGCCCTTGGCAGCGCCGGTCACCACGGGCTTGGAGACAGCCCAGGAGGGACAGGGTATGTGACCCGAGGTTGCGCCACACCGACGCCCTAGTGGGGCAGGCCTCTCAATGGCCAAGACCAAAGGTGGGCATGGATGGAGTTGCCCAAGGGTCAGCACAGAGCCAGGCCCAGCTGTAAGGGGCCACCACTATCCACCAGCCTGCACCAGGACACCCCTCCCCACCGTTCCAGTCGTGGCAGCCAGCTCATCACTAACAGGTGTCAGAAGAAAAGGGTGGTACTGCTGTCCTGGGGGACGGTGGGAAGAGGGGATGGGACAGTGCTGGTGGACACTGGCTGGCCTGGACATATCCCAGAGGGCTGCAGAACCCAGTCCAAGCTGCCCTCGGCTTAGGGATCGCTTAGCTCCTGTTCCTTCGTCACTCCAGTCTCAGCACGTAGAGAACGGAGGGAGGGGCACCCATCCACCCTTGGACCAGGCAGGTGGCATGACTTTCCAGCCCCCAGGGGACTGAGGAGGGGCCTAAGATCGGCTGGCCCCTCAGTGCAAGACCCCCTAACAGGACTCTGCAGGGACCATCAAATAAGACACACCTGGTCTGCAGTGAAAACATTTATTTTACAACAGTTATCTTTATTTTAAGTCAACATTCAGACATACAAGATGGAGGTCACCGTGGGAAGCCATCCTAACCCTCCCGCCTGGCCCTCAGGTGTGCGGTGGGAGTCAGCCGAGGCAGCCCGCTCCGCCGGCTCCGCACAGGACACACCAGCAGGGGCGCTGTTTCCCTGCTCTGCACTTAGTTCAAAACAACGTAAACATGTCTCAGTGCAACTGCCTCCCTCACTCAGCAGGCAGCAGGAGTCCGTTTCCAGGTAACCATCTGCCAGCCCCCCAGGCCCAGGCCCACCCTCCGGAGCACAGCAGCCTGGCCCTGCTCCTCCCAAAACCCCTCCCAGGCTGATCTGTGGTCCCAAGACTGTTGAGAATGCAGCTTGGTCACTGACTGATTGCATCTGAAGCTTAGAAAATTGGTTTTAAATTTTCCAAAGTAAAAAGGGTTTCTACCACCTCCCAGATGTCATATGGGGACACTCACCCGTGGTTCAGGTGACGGTGACAAGAGGCCCCAGGGATGGGCACCCTGCCCTGGAGAAGCTGACAATGGCCACTGCAGTGGGCGCAGGTGCACACCTGGCCTTCACTCTGACACTGGGTACACGGCAGCGTCCATGGCGTCTCCTGCGCACCCAGCAGAACTCTCAGGACCCTCCTCCTACCCCAACTCGCCAAGAAACAGAGGCCATTTTGGAGCCAACTTTTATTGTACTCGCTGCTTTGCTGCCAAACAGCGTCCCGTCTGCTGTGATATATACATATGCACATATGTACACACGGAGACACCCCGCTGCCACACCTGCGGCAGACAGCGCCGCCGTGCTGGTCAGGACTATGAAAACGCAGCTCTTGCCAATTCCACAGGAGGGAGATTCACAACCAAAGTAACAAAACAGACAGGTCAGTCCCGTGTCACACGGGCTCACAGCTCCGAACACGAGAAAGGAATGAGATCAGTCACTTGGTTCACGGCCGTCACAACCGCCCTGGGAAGACCTGCTGAGAGTCCAGGAAGTGCAGACCACCCACCCCAGTACTGGGGAGGCCGAGTGTCTCCCCAGAATGGCAGCAGCACCAGTGTACTCCCCAGACCCAACTCATCTGGCACAGACCAGCCAAGCTGGAACATGGAGAATGGTCCTGGCAGGGCCTGTCCCGAGCAGGAGCCCAGGAGCCCAGTGGCCGACAGCGCGGAGACACCCTGCCCCACCACAGCCACGCTCGGGCTTTCCCCTCTAGCAGGTCCCGGTGGGTGCGGGCTGCGCTGACCAACCAGACAGCTAGGGAGGCTCACACACTGAGCGGTAATATCTAAAGCAGTTTGAAACGAGAATAGAGCCAAAAGGAAGACGAGACAAAACACATCACTGGGCGAAACAGAAACCGACACACCAGCAGCTGCCATCAGATGCCCACCGTGCCTGGTGCACATTTCTTGCAGGCCACAGGCCGTCCATCTGGCCGGTCCTGCCCTTGCGAAGCTGACAGGCGCCCTGTGCACAGACCCAACACTGCTGGGCCATAGGCACTGGCACGCGGCCCTCTGGGTGGCCCTGGGGTGAGGTGCAGGGCCGCCCCACTTCGCACATGAACAAGGTGCCTCTCCAGACTGAACAGCCCTGCTCACCAGGGAAACAGGCCACGCAAGGGAAACGCACCAGGTACCTGCCCTGAATCACCACGAGGACCTGAACGCAGTCCTGCCGCGGGGTCGGGCACAGGCACTGTCGTCACCGTCATGACCGACCCAGTTCTCACCCCCGAGACCTGCCCGTCTGCCACCTTGGCCCCAAGGACATTCCCGTCTCTGGAAAAAACTCAACAAGACTCTAACTGGCAGACGCACTGTGATGCGTGTGAGGGCCTGGACGGACGAAGATTAACTGGGCTCTTGGTCATTCTGGGGAAAAGTAAGCTCATTTCCTGTTACTTGCAGAAGCGTCTCAAGGTGGATGGCAGCCTGCAGCTCAGGCTGCTCCACCCTCCCCCGCCAGGGTGGGTCAAACAATGGGCTTTTTATCCTTAGGAGATTACTTCTAATTTGACATCACAGTGCAGAGATGCCCTCTCACCCAACATCTTCATGATCACAATGAGCACAACAATCAAAACGGGGCCAAATAGTGGCCAGGCCCCGGGCTGCCTGCCGAGGGCCAGCAAGGAGGGACCTGGCACTGAGGGTCCTGCGGAGCGGCTGGGCCCCCACGCACCAGCTCTCGCCTGACACTGTTGGCCCTCCCAGCCAGCGTGACCCTGGTGGGCAGCAAGGGCAGTGGGGACAACAGTGGCTTCAGGAACACATTCTGGCTGGTCAAAGTCAGGGAGCCACTCGGCCCAGCCCCCAGCTAGTCCTTTGCTCCCCCGGAAATTCAGGGGCACAGCTACTGGGTCTGCCCTGCAGAGCTGTGTGTGGGGCCAGTGGGAGCCTGCTGCTCGGCAGCCACGCCCATGCCCGCTCCCCCCGCCCACCCAGCCTAGGACAGACAGGAGGGCCACCGCCAGAAGCTCACAAAAAGGAACGGCCCGGACTATGGTGAGGGTCCCAGTCTGGCTGCTGGTCAACAAGGAAAGGGCACCAGGGCTCCCTGGGGCCCAACCCTCCCAGGCCAGAGTGTGCCTTTGGTCCAGCGGGCCCTTCCCGGGCCCTGATGTCGGGCTCTGGCTAGGGAGCAGCTGAAGGGAGAGGCTGGGCAGGGGCTCTGGAGGCAGAGAGGAGGCTTGGCAGCCAGGCGCCACCAGCAGCCCGGACTCTCCCCAACGAGGCCTCGCTGGGCCGCTGCAGCCGTCGTGGCGCTTACATGTCCAAGAACAGTTACAAAGAGGCCGTGGGGCCTGGCGGAACATGGAGGGTGGTGCAGAGAAGAAAGGGGGGAGCCTGCCGGATGTGGCCATCAACGCAGCTCATGGCACAGGGGACTCAGGCAGGGAAGGTGGGCCCAGGATCAGGAGCCTCCCAGCCCCACAACACTCCCCTCGGGAAAAGCCCCGCCACAAGGCGGCGCAGACAGGCGAACAGACCCTGCGCTGACTGTCCCTGCCACCAACACCACAGGGCACAGCGGTGGCTGAGAGGAACGTGCCCAGGTAAGTCCAGAGGCCCTGCCTGTGGCCACCCTGCTGGACCAGACCCCACGGCTCCGCAGGCAGCACCTGCCCTGGCCCCTCCTGCCTGCTGGGGACACCGCACGGTGGCCAGCTCACTGCAGAGACCTGACTGCACCCCAGGCGGCACTGCCGTGGGTGAACGTGGCTACACCGCAGCACGCCCACAGCACAGACAGACAGGGAACAGAACCCACACATGCTATTAGAAAAGGAAGGAACAGAAGACGGCGACCGTAGCTGAACTGCTTTAAACACTGCATGCTACGCACTCCACGGGGGGTTGGCGAGCGGGGGGCAGAGGCGGGAGGGCCCTCCCCGTGGCCAGAGCCTCCCGCCTCCGTGACTACAGTTCATGATTCTAGGGTAGAAGTGGCTGAGTGCTGACTGATCCGCGAATCACAGCTTCTCCTGAATTTAATTGAACCCGTCGGTGTGGTAGCTGGGGTGGGCGTCGGCCGTGAGCTGGGTGGTCTCTGTGGCGGACGCTGGCTGTATGACGATCGGCGTGCCTGCGGCCTCTGAAAAGCAATCACACACATGCCCATCGCACGAGGACGGTGGCCTCAGGAGGCCCGCGGGCCCATCGACAGGTCCTCCTGGGACGACGCTTCTCCGCAGCTGTGCTGGGTCGGACGTGGCGGGACAAGCACCAAGGGGAGAGGCTGGTTGCTGACCTCCCCCCAGCACGACCTTCCTCGGCTCCAGGTCACTGCTTGCCCGAGGCCCCACCCCACCTGCTCGGTCCCCAGGCACTATGGCTACGCTGCTGGAGGGTGGGGACAGCCTCTGCGTCTGCTTTTACCTCACGTCCATGTCCAACCTCAGGCCCAGCGCACACACATCCCGGCCCCATGTCAGTGCCCTCCTGTTTGACAAGACAGGTCGACACGGTTGAGTGCCCCTCCTGGTGCTGCCCCACACGCAGGCCAGGCCCCGGGCGCACACTCACCCCGCTCGTCCGACTGCAGCTGGGCCTCCAGATCCTCAGGGGACACGTAGAAGTCGGCCTCCTCGCCCTCGGGCGCCCTGGGCCGGCACTTCCCACAGCAGCAGTTGAAGCAGCAGCACAGGCAGCAGCAGCAGTAGCAGCAGGTGAGGAGCCCGCAGAAGACGAACAGGGCCTGGGGGCAAGGCGGGCGCTGGCCAGGCTGCTCCAGACCCGGGGCCCAGGGCCCCCCACCCCACTCCCACATGCGTGCGGTCACCCGCTGAGAGCGCCAGACAGATAGGTGGGTGCTCCTGTTCTCTCCAGATCGAGGACAGTAAGAAAGGACACGGGTCAGGAGAGACAGAGTGACCAGGTGCGTCAAGAACAATTTACACCCTGGTGGGTTTGGCTCAACGGTTAGAGCGTTGGCCCACAGACCAGAGAGACCCGGGTTCGGTTCCCGCTAAGGGCACGTACCTCAGTTGCAGTTTGTCACAAGCCTGGTTGGGGCGTGTAGGTGGCAACCACTTGATGTGTCTCTCTCACATCGATGTTTCCCTCTCTCTCTTCTCCTCCCTCTCCCTCCCGCTCCTTCTGAAGATAAATGCAAAAATGTCCTCGGGTGAGGATAAAAAAAGAACAATTTACAAAAGTGGACCATGAGCGCCCAGGCAAGTGGGGGCTGCCTACAGCTCAGATCCTGGCATCAGCCACACCCTTTGTCCGTACCCATGACAAGGGCTTTAAATGAGTAAAGGAGAATGTGAAAAAGTAAAACAAGTAAATATGTCCCAACTTTCTCAAGTTAGAGTTCACACACATCTTCCCAGTAACAAGCAACACAATATCTGTGCCCAGTGATGACTTCCAGGCTCTCTGAGGACCGAGGGCGACTCTGGACACATGCTGAGCTGACAGGCAGGCGATCTGCCCGCACTCACAGACTCAGTGAGCCCCACACCCTGCCCACCCGCCAGCCCCACGCCCCTCACCTTGGCCCACCAACTGGACAGCACGAAGTAGGTGTTCACGTTTTCCTCCCCAAACTGTTCGGCCACGTAGAGCCCCAGCGAGCCGTACTTGTCGTAGATGTTTCTCTTCGTGGCGTCTGTGAGGATGGCGTGCGCGTTGTTGATCTCCTTGAACTTGTCTGCGGCCTCCGGGTTATCAGGGTTCTTGTCAGGGTGATATTTCAAGGCCAGTTTCCTGCAGACCAAAACCACCTCTTGGCCTGTGTCCCATGCACGCCCACTGGACGAAGGTGCCGGTAGAGGAACGCTCACCCGCTCCCATCTCACAGTCCCTTTCTCCAGGGCCGGGAAGGCCAGGGTCAGGAAATCTCTCCATCATCACAAACTTTCAACAGTGTGAAGGCAAACCCTGCTCTGCCCCCTAGTGTCCGGGCGGCTAACTGCACACTTGCTACGTAAAGTGACAGGTAGGGTTCTGACAGAGGCATTTACTACTGTGTTTAGTAATCACGGTTCCATCAATGAAACCACACTGAAAAAGGAAACCACACTTAAAAAGGTTTAAGTCCAAGGGAGTCTGGAGACTACGACAGGTGAGCAGACTGTCCCCACCGTGTGGAGCCTCGTCGGGCCTTCAGCACCCTGAACCCCTGATCAGCAGTCACACCTGCTTGCCCACAAGGCTGTCTACTCCAGGGCAGACATCTGCACAAACATGGACGAAGCAACCCTAAGCTATACGGGAACACATGACACATACCAGGACGTTAAATACTAAGTTGGCCAAGAAAACATGGTTCCTGGTCAGTGAGATCCAGCTGCAAGCAAGGCCGCGGGAACCCTTACCGGTAGGACTTTTTAATGTCGTCGGAGGTCGCGTTTTTGTCCAGCCCGAGAACATGGTACAGCGACTCCCCAGAGGTAGAGAGTGAGCGCTGTCGCTGGTCAGCCATGGTCGACTAGGCTACAAGAGAAATGCAGAGAAAACTCAGACAGGACAAAGTGCAAAGACAGGAACAGAAGTGTGGGCAGTGGTCCCCGGGGCAAGGGCAGTTTCCAGCTGTGTGTAAGGGCTATAACACCACGACCCGAAGCCAACTATGAAAATTAAGTGGGTTTACTGTAACTTCTAGAGCAACCTGTAAATAAGAAAAATGCAAAAAGGTATAGCTAAAAAGCTACAAGAAAAATGAAGAGATTGTCAGACTGGATAAAAATGCAAGACCCGCCTGGCCGGGGTGGCTCAGTGGCTGAGCATTGACCCTGCACCCAGAGGTCGCCAGGTCGATTCCCGGTCAGGAAACATGCCCAGGTTGTGGGCCAGGCCCCCAGTGGGGGGCGTGCAGGAGGTGGCCAGTTGATGTTCTCTCTCATCAATGTTTCTCTCTCATTCGCCCTCTCTAAAATCAATAGAAAAAAACAAAAAACCCAAAAAACGCAAGACCCAACTATATGCTGTCTGCAAGAGACATTAAAATGACAGACTCTCGGCCTGGCCAGTTTGGCTCAATGGTTAGAATGTCGACCTGCAGACCAGAGAGACCCAGGTTTGGTTCCCACTAAGGGCACGTACCTCAGTTGCAGTTTGTCCCCAGCCCTGTTGGGGTCATGTGGGTAGCAACCACTCGATGTGTTTCTCTAACATTGTTGTTTCTCTCTCTCTTCCTCCCTCTCTCCCTCCCGCTCTATCTGAAGATAAATGCAAAAATGTCCTCGGGTGAGGATAAATAAATAAATAAATAGATAAAAAGACAGACTCTCAGAACACATGACGACAAAATTAAGGGGAGAAACAGACAACTCCACAGCTACAAAAATCTTAACACTAATGCTCCTTTCTCAGAAATTGACAGAACAAAAAAGATTAAAAGCCCCAAGTACTGACAATCTGAAAAACAACCACCACCACAACCTAACTGACGCCAACATCTACAAAACAGGTTTAAAAAATCACCGCACCATACCACAAGTTGAACCTTAAAACAAGTTTCAATAGATCAAAAGGGGTAACACTGTGCACAGCATGTCCCCCGAACCTGCCAGAGACCCAACGACACAACACCAGCAAAGCCTGGTGTACTCACCTGACACAGCACACTCCTAAGTGACACGTAGCTCGAGGAAGAAATCACAAGAAAAAGTAGGAAATATTTTTAATGAATAGTAACAAAACAGAATATGTTAATCAAGACCTAAGGTGTCACCTCGTAATCCTAGAAAACAGCAGGGCACACCCCACAGAAATGGAAGAAAAAAATAATAAAGAGCCGAAATCAACAGAAGAGAGAACAGAAAACCGACAAAGAACTTCAGAGGGATGGAGAAGGAAACACAAGAACACGGGAAGGGTGGTCAGCACAGACCCAACAGCCAGGAAAAGGTAACAAAAGACTGAGGACAAATACCTTGAATGATACCATTTACCAAAACAAACACAGGGCAGGTAACACAGGAAATATGAACAGCCCTGCAGCCGTTAATAAAGTTGAATCCAGAAAAGAAAACCTTCCACAGAGAAAACTCCAGGCTCAGATAGTTTTTCTACTGAATATTCAAGGAAGAAATGACATCCGTTTTAGACAAACTTTTTAAAAAACCGAAGGGGAGGAAACTTGTTTTTGGAGGCCAGCGCCACCCCGACACCCAAACCTGACACAGACATCACTGAGACCCACTCACAGACACAGGTGCAAAAACACTTCAGTTATATAGACCACGATCCAACAGAAACTACCCCAGGAATGCAAGCTTGATTTGCATTTCAAAATAAACCAACGTAATTCACAGTGTTACTAGAACAAATGAGGTTGCCACAGGATCCTCTCAGTAGATTCATAAAAGCATTTGGTAGAGACTTCAACACCAATTCCTGATCTAAGAAACTCTGCGTTCTGGGAACAGAAGGAACTTCCTCAGCCAGGTAAAGGACTCGGATCAAACCCAAACCCACAGCCGCACGCCAGCAGTGACAGGCTGGACAGAACAGGACCCGGACGCCAGCTCTGCCCACTTCTGCTGTGCTCCCGGCTTGCACACTGCAACAGAAAGACACATAAAAAGACACAAGCCCTGGCCGGTGTGGCTCAGTGGTCAGAGTGTTGGCCCTTGGACCAAAGAGTCGCGTGTCCGATTCCGGCCCAGTTGGGGTTGTGCGGAAGGCAACCAACTGATGAGTCTCCCTCACGTTGATGTTTTTCTCTCTCTTCTTCCCTCCTTTCCGATCTATCTGGGAAAAAAAAAAATTAATGAAAAAATATCCTCAGGTGAGAATTAAAAAAAAAAGACACAGCCCTGGCCAGTTTGGCCCAGCGGTTAGAGTGTCGGCCTGCGGTCCAGAGTCCCGGGTTCAGTTCCCGCTAAGGGCATGTACCTCGGTTGCAGTTTGTCCCCGGCCCTGGTTGGGTCGTGCGGGTGGCAACCTCTCGATGTGTCCCTTTCACGCCGATGTTTCTCTCTCTCCCTCCCCACTCTATCTGAACAAAAAATGGAAAAATGTCATCGGGTGAGGATAAAAAAAAAAGACACAACACTGTCCTTATTCACAGATGACTTGGTTGTTTACATAGAAAACCCTAAGGAATTTACAAAAAACAACTAGAAATGAGTGAATTTAGCAAGGTCAGGGTGTAAGTTTAATTTGTGAAACACTCTATCTTGACTAGACAGCAACAAACAACTGGAGACCGTGTCGCAGCAGTGCCCCCACCCCCACCCCCACCGCCACAGTCGTGGCTTCACTTCCCACGGCCTCAGTTAAGCACGTTTACAAAAAGTATGAAATAAAAAATTCCATGCCCAGCCAGTGTGGCTCACTGATTGAGCGTTGACCCTGCACCAAGAGGTCGCCGGTTCGATTCCTGGTCAGGGCACATGCCCAGGTTGTGGGCCCGATCCCCAGTGGGGGGCATGCAGGAGGCGGCTAATCAATGTTTCTGTCTCTCTTTAAAATCAACAAAGAAAAAAATATTTTTAAATAATTCCATAAACAATTCAGTTTTAAGTGGCACTCCCTCTGAGCAGCGATGAAATCTCACTGTGCCCCTCTGGCCCCCAGGACAGGACCCGCCCCTGCAGGCACCACCTCCTCCTCCTGACCGCGGGCCGTGATCAGAGCAGCTGTCCGGGGGCCACAGTGCTCGTGTTCACATCACATCATTACTTGACTTAGTAATGAATCTAAAGCCATTCACACAACTTTTTAAAAAATGTTTTTGTTGATTTTAGAGAAAGGGGAAGGGAGAGACAAACTGGCAGCCTCCTACACACCCCCTACTAGGGATCGAGCTCAAAACCCAGGCATATGTCCTGCCCGGTAATCGAACCGGCGACCTCCTGGTGCAAGGATGATGCTCAACCAACTGAGCCACACAGGCTGGGCAGAATCCGTATAATCTTAACTCCAGCAGGCGTTTTTGCAGAAATTAACAAACTGATTTCAAGATCTGGATGGAAAGCAACGGGCCTAGATCGGCACAGAAAAGTGGCAGAAGCATAGAGCTGGAGGCTCGTCGACCTGGTTCCAGACGTGCGGGTCAGCAGCCCGCACGGGGCACGATGCAGACTGCCAGGCGCCACAGCGCAGGCCCAGCAGCCGCTCCCCGTGCTTCACCCAGGACAGGGCAACACACACTCGAACAGACACCTGTGCACAAACGTTCTCACTGAAATCAGTCCGATTCCTTCAACTGAAGGACCCTTCACAACCACTAAGCAAAACAGAGAGCTGTGGCTGCGCAGTCAGCGTGCGTGAGCCCAGCAGAGGCCAATGGGTGCGGCGAGAGGTGTGGCAGGGCGGCAGCAGGACCCTGGGTGCAGGTCTGTCCAGGAGAGAAACTACAGCAGTAACACACACGACACCGGCCAGAAAGGGGAGTCCGAACATGCTGGCGGACAGCACCAACCCGTGTCCTGGCTGGGACACTGACCTGGGTGTGCAAAATGTCACCACTCCGGGAAGGGAGGCAGCACCCGTGTTATTTCAGACGACGACATGAGAATACGCAATAACCCCGATTAAAATGACAATTAACAGCAGGTTATTGGGCCAATGCAAGGTTGCCGAAGTGAGTTTGAAGCGGAGACACACAGCACACCGTCAGCAGCAGCCAAGGCCGACTGAAGTGACAAGTGCAGTGTCACTGAGCAGCCAAGTCACCTTCCCCGCCGCTGAGGTGAGCGAACAGCAACAGACTGCCCTTGGGGAGAAGATCTGGGCGAAGCTTCCGTGATGCCCCTAAAAAGGAGGCTTCAAATCTCTCTCAAAAAATGTCTAGCAGGAATTCGAAAGGCAAAGAATACATCCAACTAAGAAAAAGGTCAATCAAAGATGAGAGACAACAGCCACGCGAGCTGAGGGCGCCCTGGCAACACCAACACCCCACGCCAGGCAGTCTGAACTGCGAAGAGGGAGATTTTCGGCCTAGGAGTCTATGTCACCCAAGTGCAAGGTTGGAAGCATGTAGCGCAGGCAGGGGAACAGGGCTGCTGCAGCCCACACAAGCTGCGGGGGGAAGAACCAGGGAGGAAGGGTGCAGGGGGGAGTGGAGGGCTGGGCCCCCAGGAGGGACAGGCTGCCCCACGCCCCCCCACTGCAGCACAACACACAGACACAGAATGACAGGACGCTCCCTGAAGGCAGCAGGGGGCTCAGGGTGGCTGAGCCCCTTAACTCCCTTCCAGGGCCACCTCACCTGCTGGCCTGGTCCCTGGAGTCCAGGGCTCAGGGCTCCCCACCACTTCATGAGCAAGTGCCATGGCGATGCCATTGCTGACGAGCTGGGAGCACGAGAGGGGGAGCTGGGTCTGAACCTCCCCCGCAGGGCACGACCCTCGGCCTGGGGACACCAGGTAAGCACCTCGCTCCTGGCTGAGGGCAGAAGATAAAGCAAGTTTCCTGCCACCGAGAGGTGTGCTGGAACCAGGACACGAGGGCTCCTAGCCCAGTTCCAGGCACATCAGTGCAGG